GCCTGTGATCAGCTTCACACTGAGGGCTGGCGCTCCGGTTTCTACATTTCTGGCCCACATTCCTACCCTTCTAAGGACCTTCATTTGTCGGCTGCAGAGTAATTGCCACCAGGAGTTTCCACCCCAAATTTCAGATGTGCCCTTAAACGTCACCCCTGTGCTCCATTCCTCTGTCCCCAGGCTGCTGGGCTGTGTGAGCGTCACACCTCGCTCACAGGCCTGTGCCATCCCCGTCACCCAAGAGCTCCTCGAGGCTCACCTGGCCGCTGTCAGCTGGAGCCCTGGCGCCTTGCGCCTCAGTCGGGCTGTGCTCTGGGCAGGGGCGTCCCTGTGAGTCTGGGCGTGATTCTGAGAGCCCTGGAGGAGGACAGCCCCTACCTACGCCTCAAAACATCTTTTAAAGCGTGGAGTGCATGTAGTTTCATCCACTGCCAGGGCGTGGAGAGTGCTCTGAATCTGACCTCTACACAGACAGTGTCGGTTGTGGCACCACTGTTGTCCCTGTGCTGCAGGCGAGGACTCGAGAGCCAAGTGAAACAGGTGCCAGAGCCACGCGGTGGATGGCAGAGCTGGTGGAGGCGGCAGTCGTGTGGACACTGATGGAACGCGTGTTTCAGATGGGTAGCACTGTGTGGGCCCTGCTACCGCTCCTGCTCTGCCGCTCAGCCGCTCAGCCTCCAGGGCCAAGTTTCTAAGGCCGTCCTTGACAGCATCACTGTTGCTGGGGCCGGCTCACCAGGACAGCAAAGCGACGGGTCGACTCTGCTCTCTCCGGCCGGCCTTCCTGGCCACGCGGCCCAGGAGCCTCGCCCTGACTGCTTCCCCAGGTGCCCGGGACAGACACAGCCTCTGCCTTCAGGGCCCCTTGGTTCCCTGACCCGGAGGACGGAGCTGCAGCAACTGCGGAGCATCTGTTCGTGCAGTCTAAGGGTCTGGTCACTTCCGTCTGGCTTTCTACTCCTTGGTCAGACCCTTCCGGCCGGCCGCTGGGGCAGATATGTGCAGGCGCCTGATGCCACCCCAGGCCACTGTCCGTGCTGCTGCACCCCACCTGCCCACTGTGGCCATGCATTTCCTTTCACATACGAGCCAGAGAGCAACCGTGTCAAAGTGGCCATCGCCACTGTGTCCTCTGAGGCCCCTCCCGGGCTCCAAGACTGCTCTGTGCGTTGACTCCAGGTCAGTGTAGAGCCCAAAGCCTCGTCCTTCAGAGACGCCTCCTTCCCTCCTGAGGCCGCTGTGAGGCTGGAGCCAGCCAGGCTCTGCAGGAGCCCTCGACACACTCCTGAGCACCATGGAGAGCTGAGCGGCCTGAACGGCCACTAGTCCAGGGCCGAACCCGGGCCTTCCAGGACTGTCCAGATTTGCAGCTCAGTGTCAGATTGCAAATAACAGAACCCAACTCAAAACAGCTTGAACAGAACAGGGAGCTTGTATGCATCTGAAAGGAGAAAGCCCAGGGCCTTCTGCAGGCTTGAGTAGGCCAGGTGTTGAAAGTGTGAGGCATAAACTCAGGAGGCTGAGACAGAAGGATCGACATGAGTTCAAGGCCACCCTGGGCCACAGAGTGAGTTCAGGGCGGGCCTGATCTACACAGCGAGACCCTGTCTCAAAAAACAAAACCCAACAAACTTAAAAACAAGTGTGAGGTGTATTTCAATTAAGAGTGCTTAAATTAAGAAAATTTATTACAGTGAGCGACACACTGCCATGAGCCACCCTCAAAATCTGCCCCTCGCTTTGAACACTTAGACCGTCATTCTTGCCACTTCCTGCAGCAGTTCTGGAGTCCTCTTGCCTGAGGGTCTTTCCAAAATGTGATAAAAAATATAGTGTATGCAGGGCCGAGGATTTAGCTCAGTGGTGCTGCCACCTGCCTCACAAGCGCAAGGTCCTGAGTTCGATCCCCAGCACCAAAAACAAAACAAATATAGTGTATTGTACTGCTGAGCACCACCCCTCAGGCAGGACGGGTAAAAACGCTGTGCTGTGTCCTCATCCTCCTTATCCACTGGATCTGGCAGTGTGACTTCTGGCTCCTCTCAAAGTCAAAGTGACCTTGAAGGGTTAGCGTTTCGAATCCATCAGGACATGGCGGTAACTCTGACAGTGCAACTAAAGACGTCAGGAAAGGGGACCTGAGCTGCTGCAGAAAGACGCCAGGACGACGGGATAGGCGTGTTCAAAGCCGGGGAAGTTTCGGGGGGTTTGTGGCCATGTTGCCTTTACTGTATTTTTATTTAAACATTTTTGATCACACCACGTATGCCAACAGGATCCTGTCCCTTTCTGCTGCCCAGTCTGTTCTTGTTCAGAAAACCATGACCGTCTCCCCAGTGGTGGCCCAGTTGCCCCCAGATAGCCCAGCAGAAAGGGCACAGCCTCCCCGGGAGCCCCAGGGAGAAGGCACCCCGGCCCGAGTGGCTGGACTCCACCCCGACCCACGCTGACCCCGCTGGGGAGGAGGCGAGCGTCCTGAAGGGAGAGGAGCCGCCTCCTGTCGGCACCTGCCTGGCCCATGCCTACCTCCCCCATGCCTGTGCATGACCTGTGTGTGAATCCCCCCGGCAAGGCATGCAGCTCACTGCATCACGACACACCTGTGAGGCGAGGCTCATCGGAGTCCCTGTGAGAAGTCACTGCCACCTGGATGCTGTGCTGAAGCCTCGTGATACACAGTGGCCTCTGTGGCTTCCGACAGCCCGGCTGAGCCCTCTGGGCCCGAGCTCTGGATGCTCCTCCGGACTGCAGGCCAGGGTCTCTGATTGCCCTGCAGATGAGGAAATCGCATCTCCAGGCTGCTCGGAAGCCAGCCTTCCAGCCCCTGCTGTGACAGTGACTGTCCAGCCGCAGCCTGGGCCTTTCCTGCTGTGGCCCTACCTGCAGTGTAAAGTCGGCAGTACTTTGATGACGCAGCGTCCTCTGCTACGCTGGCCCAAGTCATCACTTGAAACCCTTGGAGGAAAGCTGTGATCCTCGGCAGTGGCCCTGGCTGATTGGGAAGGAGGCATCCGGCCCCTGCGCGCCATTAGTTGACAGCGTCTGACTGCTTTCCCTTTGTTTTACGGTTAGGCCTTATTTGGCTGAGCTCTTTGGGGTCGGGCTTTGCTTTCCCAGATCTAGTTGTCTTCTTATTCCTGTGACAGGCGGAGGGTGGCTCCTCCCTCCATGGCGCAGCCCAGTCACACCCGCAGGCTCCTGCCTCCTGCCTCCATCTGCTGCTGTGGTCCTGGGCGGCGCCCTCTGTCCTGTGCCCCCTTTCTTGTTTCTTGTTGTATATTCAGGAGCTGTTACATCATGTCCTGATTTTAACTTTTAGATCTTCTAGTAAAAATTTAACAAGCCTGCTTTCTGTTGTTTCTTGTTCTCTAATAATTTGTATTTCACATCACCCTAGACTACTATATGGATGCAGTAGTTTTTCAAATCACTATTGGTATTAATTAGAATTTAAGTTATTTTCAGCATACTGAATTATACTTAGTTGTCTGAGTTTCTAGTGTCTTTCCTTCTTATGCCATTGATTGTTTCAAATGCCTGGAGACCCTTGTTGTCTGTATTTTTAGGGAAACCACTTATTTGATTGCTAATGGTGGCCAGCATGGCCTTCTCTGCTATTGGGTAGCATTTCTAGTAACTTCTCCTTTGGAACAGGCTTGGGGAGAGGGGGCTAAGCAAGCACCCCAGGTCTATGAGCCGGGCAGGTACCTAGCAGGCCTGGCAAGATCTACAGGCAGACTCATGCTGGCCCCAGGGCCAACCAGGGACTCACGGCCTGATGTTACCCAAATCCTAACCTTCTCCATAGATCTCAGTAGAAAACTGCTGTTTGGGACCTAGGACCAATCCACCTGGGACCAATGCCCCTGCTGTTTGAGAACAGGAACGCAGAGAGGCCCCACTGTGGGCTGCACAGCCGCCGTCATCCTTCAGGACCCACCGTCACCGCCGTCCCTCTGATCCTGCCAGCTCAGAGGCGGACCCTCTGTCAGAAAGCCCCAACTCTCTCTGCTACCTTTATGCTGCCATCCACCTTCAGTTTCCCAGAAGTTTGGCAGAAGCTCTGATTCTTCACTTTGGAAGCTTCTTCCCCTTTGTTTTTGTTTGTTTGTTTATTTTGGTTTTGGTTTTTGGTACCGGGGTTTGAACTCAGAACCTTGTGCTTGCGAGGCAGGCGGCAGGCGGCAGCACCACTAAGCTTCATCTCCGGTCCCTCCTTCCCCTTGTACTCTCCTGTGTTTCCTTGGGGGCTGGGAGGGAAGAGCAGCTTCGCATGTGCTTGTCCCTCCACAGGTCTGGACGCCTTTATATTCACTTTGCTTTTCTGAATTTCCTAAAAGGTGTGTCTTATTACAAGCATCATAAGATAAGTAACAACAAAAGCTGTCCTGAAAGTGGGCGGGCCTTAAAAATATGTCCTCACCAGGCGTGAAAGAGAACAGCCCTGCTGGTTTCTGTGGCGATCCTTATAGGTCCAATCCGGAAGCCGCTTTGCTACCACACTTTGAGCCAACGGAGGCAGAGGCTGGAATTGCTGCTGTCTTACTTGTGCTTTTTATTTTCCCACACTAGATTAAAAAGCTTAACGCAGTAAGCAGGTCAAACATAGAGCCTGCTACTAAATAGATGTGTCAGTTAAATGTTCTGCTCAACGAACCTCCCACAGCTTGGTAGCTCAGAATGGTGAGCAGTTGGTGCCTGCTATTTGCTGGACTCTGCTGGAGGGAGACTGGCCAGGTGTCTTTCACACCCAGCAAGACAGCCTGGGCTCACTGACATGGTGCCGGGGTGTGGGATCCAGGAGCAGCGAGAGGGGAGACAGAGGCTCAGGACTCACATCGGTCCACCTCGCCCTGTGGTCAGGGCCCGAGGCTGGTGCAGATTTGAGGGGCTGAGAAGTGAACTTATGCCTTAATGGAGGATCTGCAAAGGGCCGCATTAGTTCTGCAGCTCACAGTTCCACAGCTCTGAGTTCTTCTTGTCCCTTCTTGTCTCCACAGGCTTCTGAGGACGCAGTCCCTCGAATGGTTCTACAGCAACGTGAAGAGCCGCTTCAAGCGCTTTGGCAGTGCCAAGGTCCTCAAGAACCTGTACCGGAAGCACCGGCTGGAGACCGGCGCGAGCTTTGACGTCCTAGGTACCCTCTCCCTGCAGCTTGGGGTCTTGGTGTCTGGCAGGATGGAGCAGGCCAGGTGTGGAAGCCCCAGTGCTGGCAGGCTTCCTGGGACAGAGGAATTGGCTTAAATCTCGATGCTGGTGAGGAGCAGAAGCAGAGGGCTGGACACTGAGACGATGTTCAGTTTCTACTCTGGGCTCCAGCATCCCTGCTGGCTGGAGCTGTTGTGTTAGGAACCCGAAAGACTAGAATATTTCTGCTAATCGTGGGTATTTTAATTCTGGATCCCTAGAAAGGAAAGGCTCTTATCACCCTGGCCTGGTGCGGAAGACTCCCTGGGTCTGGTTAGGAGAGACGTCTTCCTACTCCAGAGCCCTCCTTACCAGGCCAGAGTCAGAAAGAACTGCAGGGGAGTGTGAGCATCCGTGCGAAGGACTCGGGTCTTTCACACTGACGGCAGGCAGACAGACAGACAGGCAGCAGCAGCAGCACAGGAGATGTGGGGCCCGCAGTCCCAAGAGCCCGGTGCACGGAAAGAAGCGGAGTCAGGAGAGCAGCCACGCGCGCACGCTTGGCACGGCCTCCTCCAGTCGGCAGGTTTGTCCGTCCTGTGGCTGACGCAGGCTAACGCTTCTCATCTGTGAGCAGCAGGGAAGGAAGAATCCCCAGCTTCTGGAGCTTTCCCCACCGTTGTTTGCTGTTTTCCGTTGTATTCTCAGTGAAGCCTTTGCGTCTGATCTAGAAGTGGGCCGGCTGCCTGGGTGCCAGGAAAACAGGATGAAGCCTAGACTCGATGATCTCTGCGGCCTCTTGCAGTCACCCTGAGAACCTGAGCTCTCAAACTCGGGAAGCTGGCAGCTGAGAGCAGCACCCACGGTTTCTACAATTTTTATATCCTCTTTGCTGATTTTTCTCTGGCAAAGGAGACAAAAAAAAAAAAAGGAGGCAGACTTAAAAGATCTGCCGTTGGCAGTAGTTTTTTGACCCAGAAGCAATCTCAAGACAATCCCAGAATAAACCGGCCGCTTGCTTGTGCCTCTCCCTCCTCCCTCCGCATCCTCCCGTCCACCCCACGTCACTGTCACCGAGTGACACATCCTCGAACTTCCTCACCGCCTCTTGAGGACTGAGGGGGAAGCAGACGGGTGTGGTGTGCAGAACCCTGCAGCATGGTGCTCGATTCCCATCTCCATCTCCCTCAAAGGCCCGGGGGATGGGCGGCCCCAAGCCCCAGTGTGCCCTGCAGGACTGTGAACGCTGTGTGCCATCTTGGAAGGAGAGCGCCCAATGTTCAGACAATTGGGTACAAATACATTGCTTTATTTAGTGCCACATAAGTAGAAAGGAAACATAAAGCATAGTGCCGTTCATCCCCACCCTGGACCTCTGGTCGATGTGGCTGTTGACAGGTGGAGTGCACCCTGCGTCTGTGATTTCGGCCCAAGAGCGGGGCGCACAGAGACCTCCTCTCCCCTCCTCATCCCCCCCAGCGCCCTCCCTCGGGACCCTCCTGCTCGCCTGGCCTGGGACAGCTCCAGGCCTGGCTCCCTGTCCTCCCCTCGCGTGCGGCCACAGTGCCCCAACCCTCAGCCTCCGAAGAAGGCCCAGGGCCGCGCCTTACTTGCACCCTACCAGAGAGGCCTGCAGTCAGGTTCCAGGCCCTCCCCAGTGTGCGACCCGGGCCCGAGGAACAAACACACTCAGAGACAGAGCTAGGAGAGAAGGCGGGGCCAGGATGACCGATGCCGGGCAACCAACCAAGCCCTGGCCAGTCCCAGGCGCTGACTTTTACTGGCCATCAACTGGGGTGAAGGTGAGCCATGTGCAGGTTCTATGGAAATTAATGTACAGAAGGCTCATAAAGGACAAGACAAAGCATCCTCCAATCAGGAACAGAAAAGACTAAATATATGGTTGTGATTGGAGCACTGTCCTTCTAGTCAGAAGGTTTAGTTGGAACGGAATTTGGTGAGTTACTCTGACCTGGACACGTAGGCTTCAGCCAACTCACTTCCATAAACAAGCCGATTTCGGGGCTGACGCCTCACAGCCTGCCTTGGCATGATCAGTATCATGGTCCCCTGCAATGCACCATCCTCTCTCCTCTGCCCTTCCCACTGGTTGACGCACAGTCTTATTTGCGTCCCCCACTGCAGCCTCCCTGAATCATCCTCCGTCATGGCCCTGCCTTGTTCTCTGACACAGGGAATCTCAAGCGTGGGCCGCACTCACCTGCCTCTTACTGCCACAGCCCACCATGGGGCACAATCCGATCAGTCGGTCACCTCTGCGAGCTGGTGCTGGCTTCACTGGCTGTCGGGACAAAGCCCCCGTGTCCCGGGTCCTCAGTGGTGGCGGCTGGGTGGCTGCCCCCTGTGAATCCCACTGGGGCTCTTGTCTGCTCCACCCGGGGCTCCCGGCCCCACTCCGGCCAGTCCGCTCTGACCAGGTCAGTCTCCAGGGAGTGCTTCCTTCCTGGGAGCGCCTCACACACCTCACACATCTCTGGAGCCTGAGGACGCCGTCTCCCCCACCCCACGATGCTCCCCAGTCTGCTGGGGCAGGGGGCTTCACTCTACTCACCAAGCTCCCCGCCTCGCTCCAAGCCGGGCACCTGGGGTGTCTGTGGGTGTCTACTGGGTGGGTGCGTGGCACTGGATGCCACTTTGCCACAGCAACGTGCACATCCTGGACATGTTGCCAGAGACTGAGGTGACATCCGAGAGCTTTCTGAGCCAGAGCAGGACCCAGGGAGACCAGTCTGTCCCCGGGGTCACAGAGCTTCAGGCTCCTGGAAAACCCAGCTATGAATAGACGCAGAGGGACGTGCAGCCAGGCTGCCACACGAGGAGCTTGCAGCGAGCTTCCCCGCCAGACCCACCACAGATGCCCTGCAAATGCTGCCCCTGCAAATGCTGGCTGCCCCAGGAGCCCTGTGACAGCCCAGCTGACCTGGTGTTGAAGGCATTTGCTCCTCTTGGAGCTGAAGCACATCGGCTCTCACTTATTTCCTTGGCTCCTTCAAGCAGGTTCTTTAACCAACAGCCAGGTGGGGGTTTTGTTTAGTTTTTGAGCCACCTGATGCCCTGTTGCCCCCAGGCACTGATGTGCAGTGACTCAGAAGATGAAGGGCACCGTCTGCCTCAGGAGGTGTCAGCTGATGGCTCAGTGCAGGAACCAAAATCGGAGACTCCCTGGCTCGGGGAAGGTCCTGACTGATTGCTCCTCCCTAGCTGGAGCCCTGGAAGGTGGACGGTGGTCTGCATGCTCCCTCCGGCTGCAACGCGTGGCTCCTGTCTGCAGAAGAGTTGGAGATGTGGAATCATTCACCAGAGGCCACGTTAGGGGCATAGAAGCCCTCACACATGAGGAGAAGGCCCGGGGTCTCCCTGCTCTCCCAGCCTGGAAGCCGTGCAGAGGGCAGCAGAGTCCCTGCTCCAGGGGCACGAAGAGCAGCTTGCAGGGACCAGGGCTGAGCGTGTCGCTGGACTTCAGTTCCCACTCTCCTGGCCCCCCACTGCCTTGGCCCAGGCCTGCTGTGTGCTCTGTTGGCAGGGCAGTGCCTGTGGGCAGGCAGGCTGAGCACCCGGAGCCGGCCTCTGGCAGGAACGTGCTGCGGTGTCGCTGTGGCGGGAGGTGAGGGCAGGAGGTCCAGGAGAGGCAGGGAGAGCAAGGGGGACCCCCAAAGTGACCCACACCCCCAAACAGCATCGCCCCTCCTGGGCCTCAGCTCCCAGCATGAAGGGAGCAGACTCCCGACCACCACAGGAGGCCTGGGCGGGAGTCGGGGTGGCAGCAACGCTGCGCAGGATGTTGGTGTAAGAAGAAAAAGGATCTGGCGAAGACGGGGCACTGTTGGGGGCCGGTGAGCCCAGTCTGTCTGGACCCACGCGCCAGGCGGACAGGGCCACAGGGGCCGGGGGTCTGCAGGGTGCTCGGCACAGACCTGTGATGCCGGCCCCTCCCTGCCCTGTCTTTCTTCCCTCCTCCCCTCCTCTCTTCCCCGGCCCTCTCCCGTCACCAGGAACAGGCTTCTTTGAGTCCCACCTGGAGAATGACGGAAGCATCTCAGGCAGCGACTCCAGCTTTCCCTGGCAGCCGGAAGGTAAGCTGCCCAGGGTTCGGCCCCAGCCGCTGGGGGAGCAGGACAGGGTCCCCATCCCTTGCCCTGGATGCAGCTGCTCGTGGCACGTGTGCTCTCCGTGCAGACCCGGCCCTTCTGATGGCCGCTGGGGCGAATCAAGGTGCACACCACGCCTGGGCTCGTAGGGCCCACAGTGCCCACCATGGACAGAGTAGCCAGCACACTGCCATGCATCTGCCAGCAAAACCCCAGGAAAAGTGGGATCCACTGATTCCTTCCCAGTTTTACACCAGTACTGCCATGCCCTCAGAGCAGGGGCCGAAGCAAGAGGAACTCGGGACTGGGAGGGAGACCACCCCTGCCACCACAGGTCCTCCCCTGGGCCGGCGCCCTCTGTCCTCCCTGGGGGTGTGATGGCGCCTTACCGTCTCCCTGCTGGGCTACGGCTGCTCCGCAGCTGGGGCAGTGCTGAACGTGTGTGACGGTGACTTCAGGAGAGCCCCACGTTGGAATCCGTAGGCTGAGAAACAAAGATCTGCTCTCCCCAGTGTGGAGCAGGCGTCCAGCCCTGCCCCAGTGCCATGTGCTGAGCCCCAGAGAGCAGGTGGAGGAAGGGGAACTGGCTCTCCCCCTCTGGAGCTGAGATGGCCCCTGGATCCAGCCTCAGACCCCAGGACTGCCACCAAGGAGCCCTCGTTTCGTGCCCTTTGGACGTGGGTGAATCACACCGCCTACTTTCCTGGACTGCAACTCGAACATGCGTCAGGCATCTTGGTCTCCACAGTGGTGTGAGCCAGTTCCCATCATAGACAGATAGACAGACACATATAAACAGGTAGGCAGGCAGGTAGATAGGTGGGTAGATGGCTGGTTGGCTGGCTGGATAGATAGATAGGTAGATAGATAGACAGGTAGGTAGATAGAGGATAGACAGATACAGCTGTTGGTTCTTTCTCAGCTGAACTCTCCCCTGAAGCCTCTGTCCTCCACACGCTCACCTCCATGACGTCCCTCCGATCTCCCAGCCATCGAGGGCCCCACCCCACCCCACACCCCTGCTGCTGAGCCTCAGTGCTCGGCCTCGACTTCAGCCTGGAGTTCTAGACTCTGATTTCTACCTCTTGGCCTTTAGGACCGGAAGACCCTGTAGCTCCAACCCGACACGTCCTAATAAGCTCCTCCCTATCAATCCCCCAGCAAGTCCTCCCCTGCTCCCGTCCACTGCGTGCCACCAGCTGCCTCCAACCCCAACCCTTTCTTTCCATCCTGAAGCTCTTGGAATGAGCACCTCCCTGCCCAAGCTCTTCCGTGTTAGAACTGATTTCAGTGACACGATATCAGTCAGAACCATGGGAGACAAACATGAGCACACATGTGTGCACCCCATGCACACACACACGCACACAAGTGTAACGTACGCATGCACACACAGACACATACGCATGTGCACACACATGTATGCCCATGCATACATGCACACAGGGATGGAGGGGTGTGGGAAGCCCGAAATCTCCAGGGTAGACCCGCAGCTCAAAACTCAGGTAGGAGTTGGTGCTGCAGTTTTGATGCGAGCTTCTTCCCTAGGAAGCCTTCCTGTGGCTCTCACGTCCTCTCAGCTGACTGGAGGAGGCTACCACATCGCCGAGGGCACCCTCCTTACACAAAGTCAGCCCTCTGCAGTGTGAGCCTTGTCTACAAAATACCATCACCGCAATGTACCCCTCAGTGTGTGGCACACAGCTGGCACTGAGCCAGTCGAGCAGCACCTGGAGCGGGTGTCCCACATGCACGCGCCCTCCAGAGTCTGGCCGCTCCACCCTCCCAGCCCCACCCCTGCCGGACACCAACGTGTCCCGGCCCCAGCCACTGCCACATCATGCTCCGCAGAGCCATCCATCCCTGCTCCAGGCCTTGGGGCTTAGTGGCCGTCCTTGCCACATGTGCTGAGCCCCGAAACTGGGAGAGCGCTGGGAGCTAGACTCACCGCCCCCCTCCCTGGCATGGCTGGGGAGGTGCTTCACAAACGCTGATGGACACGGGCGGGCCTCCTTGACAAAAAATGCATGGACAGGAGTCATGAGGAAGAGGGACAGAGGCGGTGCCGCCCCCAGAGGCGCTTCTGTGATGCAGCTTAGATGTCACAGGTTCCGCTCAGTGAGGTGCGGGAGGCTATGCAGAGCTCTCGCTCCCGGCACTCCTTGCCTACCGAAGCCCACGCATCGCCGGCTGCATCCCCGGGCATCCACTGGGCTGGCTCTGAGGAGTCCTCACCTGTGCCAAATGCCTCTTTCTGTCTGGAGGAGCCTCGGAGCTTGGACAGCTTTAACTGAATGAGCAGCTAAATGATGAACCCGTATGTTCACACCTTCTCTCGGTCCTCAAAAGCTGTCCAGCAGCTGACGGGAAAGCTGCATACATTCAGTGACACGCGACTAGAAGATTACGAACAGGAAGAGGAGGCTGGCAGCAGGGCACACAGACCCAGGCCAGCCTGTCCAGACCATGTTCTTGTGTCCAGACGCGCTGACCCCGGCAGGAGAGCTGCGAGGTGGATGCTGACTCCCCTTGTGGCCAGCTGCAGAAATATCATGGATCGTGACATTCCCCTTAGTCATTTCACTGCTGTGGTCAGCAATCCAGGACTTGGAGACAGCGCTGAGCTCGAATCGGAGCTCGCTTACCGCCTCACTGGGCAAGTCCCCTCCCTCTGTGCCTCAGTTCTACATCTGTCAATGGCCCGCGCTGCGCCTGCCGGGACTGCTGACCAGCCTGGTGATGGTGTGCATGAAGCCCCGGCCTGGGCTGGCTGGGGTTGTGCTCTGTACAGTTGGGTGTGTGGTCGATACTGTTTTGTGGTCTCAAATCTTCTCCTGTGGATTTCATGTTTGTCTTAAACCACAGGCATGCCCAGCATTCGCACAATTTATACCCTTGATCCCTGCCATCACAATGATCTGTACACACATACAGCAAAGCCCAGGCTTATCTGAGAGGGGGTGAAGAACCGTTATTTTCTCGTAGTCCTGGAAACCTCTCAGTTACCCCGCAGTTACTGAGCGGGACGAGAGGGAGGGAGCAGCCGGAAGAGTCACGAGTGAGCGTGTCTAGGGAGCAGGGTGCACCCTTGGGAAGGACGGGGCCCTGTGCCACCAGAGTGGAGCAGAGGAGCCTCGGGCGGACGCCGTCCCCCCACCATCCCTGTCCTCTGTCTCCCGCCCAGGACACAGCATGATGGACACCTTGGCTGTTGCCCTGCGCGTGGCAGAGGAAGCCATCGAGGAAGCCATCTGCAAGGCGGAGGCCCACGGGGACAGCCTGGTAGGCCCTTCGCAGAGGGAGCCAAGTGGGTCCAAGCACCAGGCGGTGGAGGGGCCAGCGTCCCGGCCGATGTTCCCAGGGCAGGGCTGACCTGCTGCACTGGGCCAGGCCTCCCAGGGCAGCAGTGACCATGTCCCTTCCACCCTCTCCCCCGAAGGACAAGCAGAAGGAGGCCGCGTACCTGCAAGACCACCGAGAGGAGCTCGCCGAGGAGCTGGCTGCCACAATCCTGCAGAAGGTAGGGCGGCTGGGGCCGAGGGGAGTCGGGGCAGTGCCTCTGGCCGGGTTGGCAGAGACGGGGCCATGGGGTGCTAACTGGGGTTCCCCTGAGGCTCAGTGGGGCAGAGCGCCCATGGTTCACACAGCCTGGCAAGGGGGCCCCGGAAACAGAAGCAGCATCCACTTCAGGAAAGGATCAGTCAGCCCCTGAGTGTTCTTGGGTTCCTCATCTGCAGACTGGGCCAGCCAGGGTAGAGAATGTCCAGGAAAACATCTCAGCAGTTCCAGAAAGCAAAACCTGAGTTTGCCACGTACTGAGCCCCAGCTGGGTGCGCACAGGTGAACAGGCCGAGCCTGCCCGCCTCTGCCTCCGTGAGGCCCTCAGTCCCTCTAGGCTGTTCCCGCATCTCACCCCCACACTGGCTGTCCCTGGCCTGTGCTGGCCGGGTCTGTGCTGAGGGTACAGACTTGCAGTCACTCTTCCGAGTGTCACAGCAGTGCACACTGCATCGGGATGAGTGGGCTGGCGAGAATAGAGGCCCTGGGAAGGGTGTGGGTTATGGGCAGGTGCTGTGTGTCCCACGAGAGGCCTGAGCATCTCGCTGGGAGGGTCCTGGTCACCGGCCCCGGGGCGACACTGTGCACTGAGGACCTGCAGGGCTCACGCCCACTGTCACTGCTCACAGTGGAGCTGCATACCTTCGGGGCTGGAAAATCCCAGAGCTGCCTGCTCCCCTCCACAGCCCAGGGCCTCAAAGTAACCTACGTGCATCTCCCACCCCAGATCATAAGGAAGCAGAAGAGGAGGAGCAAGCAGCACATGGAGGAGGACCCCGAGGGGCCACAGCCACCGGGCTGCAGCTTGAAAGCCAAGGACGAGGGCAGCGCAGCAGCCCCGGGAGACCACTCGGTCCCCACCACACTCTGGGTGAGTTCCAAGAGCCCGCAGAAGTGGGGCCCACACTGATGCCGTCGTGCAGCTGCCGCATGTGCCGAGCCTGAAGGGCAGGCCCCAGGCTGGCTCCCTGCTGTCCAGCACTCTGGGACCCAGCCCACAAGGAGGCAGAGGTGACAGATCCATGCCTGAAGCTCAGCTGCAGGGTGTGACTGCAGAGGCAGCAGGGTCCCGGGAAGGGAGCAGCTTCCACCGTGGGGGCCTCTGCACAGGTGGAATACAGGCCCTTCAAGATCCTGTCATCTGCCTGGCTCGGTGTCAGCTCGGGCTGCAGCCCCTCCCTTGCCTTGCACTTGGGGAAGCCCAAGGAGTGTCCTGCAAATAGTCAGGTTTAGGAGACATGGGGGAGGACTCGGTGGACAGACCCAGCTCCAAGCCAGGGGTCGGGCCTGTGGCGGTGCTGGGGTCTGGGAACGGAGCGGGGTGGCCTGGATGGCTCTGTGGCCCTGAGCAACCTTTGGTTTCCTGAGTGTTATCAGGGAGGACAAGATTTGGCCCAAGGCCAGCTCTGAGGGTGCAGGTACTTCCCTCCACTTGCACCTGGGTGGGCTGTGCCCACGTGGCATCCCGTGGAAGAGGTCCGCTTTCTCCTTCTCCACGGGATCAAGGCTGGTCCAGGGCTGCCCTGTCCCCCTGGGATGATGGGGCCTGGGCCAGGAGCCCAAAGGACCTCACTGGCATCGAGGCATCAGGACCTGAGGGGACAGGCCTGGCCCACCCGCCCCTTGCCTCCCTTGTGGAGGTCAGCGCCTGGGACCTGGGGCTGAGGCTGCTGCCCGGCTCCAGCACAGAGGAAGGTCAGGTGCTAGGTCTGCCCATCAGGTGGTTCCTCTCACTCCTCACCCCAAGCATGGTGCAGGCACTGTTGGAGGCGCTGTGCAGATGAGGCACTCTGTGAGGGCATCGGCAGGTCCCCCTCGGGGCACACAGCTGGCACTTCTCGGGCTGCAAAGCCCAGATCCTCTGCTTCCTCAGGAGGAGATCAGAGAGCTCAGGGGCTCCCGGTCCCAGGCAGAAGTCCCAGGCTGTGTCCTCGGCTCTCAGCTGAGCTCACAGGCCTTGCTGGAGCTCCAGCTCCTTGGTCACCCTGCCGCAGCTCTGGCCCTGCAACCCTGAGTGCCTGGCGGCGGCTGTGCCACACACTGCAGACACAGGTTGCTTCCCTCCCTCCTCCAAGCATGGTGCAGGATAGACGGAGAAGAGCTCCGCACAGGACAGGAACGCACAGACGCAAGGGCTCTGGCCCCGGCTGGGCTGTGGATCCCAGCCCAAGCCTCACCTGGGACCACAGAGAGCGTGGCGCCCCCTCTGGCCCCTGCTCTGCCGGACCCTCATCCATGCCCCTGCCCAAGCCCAGGCCCTGGGCCCCGGGCAGCGCTCACAGGCTGCAGGCTCAAGCAGCCTCTTCACAGCCCCTGAAGAAGGCTCCCTGGCCACAGGCTGGAGCCGCCCCGTAGCCTCCGCATTCCTCCACACCTCACCAGGGACCCACGGCTCAGGGCATAGCCTGGAGAACCCCAAATCCATGGGGCCTGAAATCCACCGGCTGAGCCAGGCTGCACTGGAAACTGAAACGTGTCCACCTCCCTTCAGCCGGGTTCCTCACCCGCCCTGCTGTGATTCCCCTTGAGTTCTCACCCTGTGTGGCCTCTGCCCTGAGCGAGGTGCGCAGTGACGCCACTGGCCAGCCGGTGAAGCAGGAGTCTGGAGGATGCTGCTCCAGGGCTGCGACCCCTTGAAGGCCCTGGCCGTCTGTTCAGAGGCCTCTGGAGCCACCTGGCCATGCTACTGATGACCATGGCGATGCTGTGCTTGTGCCCGAGACGTCCCTGGCTGGTTCCATCTCTGGCTGTCTCCCTCAGCCTTTTCTCCTGTCTCTGGTCATTTCCTCCTCGCCTGTTCCTCTCCTTTGAGCAGCCACAGTCTGAACCACAGCACTTTGCACCTGTGGTGTGATTGTGGGACTGAGCTGCCTCTGCCTGACCAAGGCGAGCACTAAGTGAAGCTTTGACGCAGCTGTTTCCCGTGTGCCGCTCCTCCTGGGCCGTGCCCTCAAATCCCGGGTGCCCAGAGCCTCCTCCTGCTCCACCTCTCGAGCTCTCTCAGAGCCCTGGGGAGGGCCTGCAGAGCCCGCCCTGCTGCACTGAGGACAGTCCCGGCATGAGGGACAGGGACCAGGGAGAGCACGTGGCTCCCAACCGGGCGGGTGTGGCGATGGCAGGGCACAGAGCCCAACCCGCTGGTGCCTGTGCAGACCTCGGGCAGGAGCAGGCGCCTGGAGCTCTTGGCTGGCTCTCAGCCCAGCTGTGGGCACACCAGCCGTACTCCACCCTGACTCGGCTTGCTCACTGCGCCCAGTCATCCTGAGGGACGATGGCCGTCGCTGGGCCACAGGGCTTGATAACACTGACCCAGGCCAGTGCCTGTTCGTGGGGGCTTGCTCTGTGCCGGGCCTGCTTCCAACCCCTGAGAGGAGCAGAGCTTAGCCCGGTCAAGTCCTCCAGGTCCCACAGAATAAGAGCAGCTGGTGTTGACCCCGGCCCCACGGCGCCCACCGTCAGCACCCAAGGCCACAGGGCTGTGCCAGGGCCATCTTGGGAGGTGTCGCAGTGGCACTGCCATGCCAGCCACCCTGGGCCAGGGTCCCCACGCCAGCCTCGGCAGCCCAGCCAGCCCCAGCCCTGCATCTTCTGTGCACCCTTGGGTGGGTGAAGAGGGAGAAAAGCAGGGGCCATGTGGGGGGGGTCACCAAGGGCGCAGCAGGGAGAGAACAGAGGACTCCTGTGTCCCCGGGGCTTGCTGGGCCCGGCTGGTGATTGCAGCGTGGCTGTGGCGCCATCTGCTGGGCCGTGTGCCCACCGCAGGGGACGTGTGGCCAAGCAGGGCCAGGTGTCAGTAAGAAGGCAGCTCCCAGGCAGGGACAGCCAGCAGTGCCCAGGGCCCTGCGGTCTCCAGGGCACTGCTCCTCTGGGCGGACCACGGTCTCCCTGCAGTGCTGGCCCCGGGAGGGCTTGACTCTCGCCCGTCGTGCCCGGCTCACCCGAGCGTAGCCCTGGTCTCTGGTGCCGCATGTCCTGCTCTTACTCCCTGATTTCATCCAAGGAGGTAGGGGAGAAATTCAGGCCCTTCGGGGACCCAGCTCCAGCTGTCCTCGAGCCCCACGTGCACCCCAGCAGGCATCAGTCTTGCCTGGGCCGACGTCCCCACTCACAGGACGGACAACACCGGCGGCGGCTCGAAGTCTGGTGGCAGCCTCGGGTCCAAAGGCAGATGTTTGCACGGGGGACAGTGGTGTGCAGGGACACGGAGGGAGCAGGACCCGGCCCACCTTGGGGAGGCACAGCCAGCAGGTGTCCCTCAGCCATGGGGATGAGCCTGGGGGACACAGGGCCACTGTGGAGAGAGCTCATCACCGCTGGGCACACTGACCAGCCGGAGACCCCCTTGTGGGCAGGCTGGGCACAAGGCTCAGGAGGCCCCACATTGGTTCCCCGAGCCTGGCTTCTTCCTGTGCCGCCCCGGCCTGAACCAGCAAAGCCATCCAGGTCCCCGCGCCTGGCCCTGAGCCCCATCCGCCTCTGCTTCCTAGGCTGGTTACACGTCTGTCTACAGTGAGCAAAGCCTTCCCCGACCCCAGCCACAAGCATGACGCTGTGCCTCACGCGTCCTGAGCTGGACGCTGCCGTCTGTCGGGCACATGTCCCAGCTGCCCTCGCTGTGCCTTTGCCGTGGCTGCAGCACAAGGCCAAGCTCCTGGGCCTGTCAGGGGCCGGCACCGGAGACCAAGGCATCCGAAGGCAACGTCAAGCCCAGGACACGGGCTCCTGGGTCCACGTCCACGCCAAACCCCCCTCCTGTCCTGAGCTCCCGTGGGGCAGAAGAAGGCACATCTGTCCAGGCAGAGGAGAGAGGCTGCTGGTGACCAGAGCGGGCAGGCGCGCAGGCGACCTGCCTTGGTGGCTTTTTGGACTTCTGTTCCCTCCTGAGCGCCTTAGGGTAGAAGGCAAAGCAAACAACGGATAAGATACAATTCCTGCCTTACACAGCCCGGCCCGGGTAAAGCCAGTGTTTGCATCGCATGAAGGGTCTGCGTGACATGCAGGCCGGACTCCGTAGGACACAGCAGAAGAAGTGTTTCCTGCAGTCTGAATCCCAGCTCTGCCGCTGCTGCTTCTCCCTCGGTGATGTGGTTTGTTACCGCCTCGGACCCAGTCAACCGGAGCACACTGCAATCGTCCGGCCGTGTGGACTGACGGTTGCTCGTGCTCGCTAGGGTGTCGTCTCCCGTGCACTGTGGGGCTTGTTGATCCAGTGCCACACGCAGGGAGCCTCCACTCCTCAGGCCTCCTGTGTGCGTGTGCGGTGCGGAGACAGCCTGGCCCCGCTGCAGCTCACCCCTTCCTTCTCTCTCTCTCCACAGAGGTCCCAGTCTGCTTTCTCATTCCCCGGAGGAGACACCCGGAAGACCTCGGCCCTGGAAGCTGCAGCCAGGTGGTGTCCCGGCCAGCCGTGTGCCCTGCCCAGCTGGAAGAGCGTGGACGGGCTGGACGGAACAAGTAACGGGCTAGGCTCTTGGCGTCCTGGCTGCGGGGTGGGCGTGGCCTCCTCCCTGAGTGTGCCTGGAGTATGCGGGGCTGGGCCCGGACCGGCCCGGCCTGGAGCACAGCACTGGCAAAGCCAGCCTTGCCCTCCCCTGGCTCGGGATCTTTTGCCGAGTTGGGGACGGGGCCCCTGCTCTTGTGCATTACAATTGCCCCCCACAGCCCTACCTTGACTCCCAACCACACAGACCAGGAGAAAGAGTCCGATGCAGCCAGGGCCACCAAACCAACCTCTCAGGACCTGCAGCTCCCCGGAGAAGGGGTCCTGGCAGTCTGGTTTTCCGGGTGTCCTTTCTGAAACCTGGTGTGAGTCAGGCTCACACTCGTGGCCAGATCAGGTAAAGCACGTTTTCAGATGCTTCGAGCAGCAGTTTTCTTTGCAGCCCCTGCAGGGCAGTGGTGTCCCCTGGCTGAGAAGGCGCAGAGGCGTCTGCACCTGGATCACCACATTCAGCCAGCAGATGGAGGGGGAGAGCCGAGAAGGCAGCTTCCCGCCTCCCAACCCCCAGCAGCACCCCAGGCCTCTGTCTGTGGGCAGAGACGGCCATGTGACCCTGAGACTGCGGGAAGAGATGCCCAGCACTGGCCTCCTAACCTCCTCTGGTACGCAGGGACCACAGGAAGGAAGCCAGGCCACAGGTGCATCCCTGCATAAGGAGCCCTGAGGCCCAGTCTCAGGCCACACTGTGCAGGGGCTGACCCCTTTCCAGAATGACAAAGATCGCCAGCAAGATCGCCATCCTGCAGTGAGCCTGCAGGGGCCCATACCTTCCCACTCTGCAAGGAAATGACTTGCATCAGCAGTTTCAGACACGACACAGACACAGAAACATCCAGTGTTTCCTAACACAGCCTCAGATCCCAGGAGAGACCACTCTGCCGACCCTGTCAGACGTGGGAGCAGAAGCTGCAGAGCGCTGGATCACAGTGATTCTGGGGCACCTGATGTGTTCTTTCTGTTCATGGTTTGGATTTTTGTTTTTAAATGCATTTTCCAAGTGTCGAGATACGCCTCTCTTTCCCCTGCTGCCTAGCACATTCCTGTTCACCCAACCGTTCCTCAAGTTCCTCACTGTGGCCTCACATCCCCACAGAGGAAGGACCTGAGAATCTCCGGAGCTAGATTTCCTGTGCTGGAACCACCGGCCCGAGACCCTGCCTCGCACGGAGCAGAGCTGGTCCTCAACCCAGACTGCACCTCAGATCTCAGACTTCAGAGTGACGCATCAGAGGTTTATAAAAACTCCCACAGGCCTGGCCTCCCACAGCACGGTGCCCTGGATTGTGAGCACACCTCATGAGTTTGCAAGGCAGTTTTCCTCTCAGTACTGAGGATGGAACTCAGGGCCTTGGGCCTGAATCACATCGCCAGGCCCTTTTGTTTTTGTTTTGTTTTGTTTGTTTTTTAATTTTGAAACAGGGTCTCACTAAGTTGCTGAGTTACCCAGGCTGGGCTCCAACTTGAATCCTCCTGTTTCTGCCTAGAGTGTTGGGATTACAGTCATGCGCCACCACACCTGGCTAAGAATTTTTTTTCACAGTATTTTTGTGCATAAATTTCTGTAAAAGTAGGCATCAATATCAATTGCATATAATGCACTTAATTCAGTAGCATCACACACAAAAAAGATTTTGCTCAAACATTCTTGCATATCTCAGGGTGGAGATTTAACATAAAAACCACTCAGGTAGAAAATTTCTGATTTTCTAGAGACTCTCCAGCCCTTGACACTCCAAAGTGTCCCTGACAACACCAGTGTCTTGAAGGAAGGTGACATTTAGCGGGAAGCACATCACTCGGAGGTGTCGCTCCACCTTGGGACGGAGAGGCCCTGGTGGAGGTTGCTGCTGAAGGGTAAGGGCCCGGGTGGTTTCAGCAGCTGTGTTTACACCACAGGACAATGCTGGTTCAGGAGCCGGGCCACGGCGGCCTTGGGGACACTGCAGTTTGGGCCAACACAGAGAGGACACCTCCAGCCTGGACAGTGCTCACAGCAGTTACCAGGTTTCCTCAAACACATGTTCATGCTGTGACCTTGAGCCGGCATCTGCGGTGCACACAGCATCGCTGCGTGTCCAGGAAATGAAGGCCAGAGCACCTGGCAGGTCTCCAGGGGCTCACTGAGCGTTCTGCACACAATGGGAGGAATCTGCACAAGAAGTGGTGTGGACAGCCGGGCTCCAGGTGTCCCCGCTGGACCGAGGGTGTGGACGGCAGCCCAGGCACGGCCTCGCCTCACTCTGAGGATGCAGCTGACCCCAGTCTGCCTGGGGCTGCCTCTCAGGGCCAGGAGTGTTTTTTCGAAGAAGGACTGGGTTCTGCTGAGAGAAAAGTGGCTGATTTCCAGCTTCCAAGGAGGGGAGCAGCCCTGAGGGGCTGTGAGAGGCGGGAGAGGAGCGGAGAGCTCATGCTGCCGGTCGAGGAGGTGCAGTCCGAGGGCCTCATCTCCCACGTGCCCTGCCAGAGCCAGCACCAAGGCCTGTGGGCAGGGGCCCGGGCTCTGCCTGCAGGCTGGGAGAACAGCGGGCAGAGCCAGTCTGGCCCTGAGCCAGTGTCCAGTATTCGGCAGCCTTTTGTGCCCAGGCTGGAGGAGCGGCCGGGTCCTCCAAGCCCGTGCTGCAGATGGCCTAGAGGCTAAGACCAAAGCTTTGAGGAGCGCTGGGGCCCCAAGCCGCTCACTCCTGGGGCAGAAGCCCGGTGTGCCTGATGGGCAGCAGCAGGCTCCATGCTCCCAAGCTGAGGACCCTTCCCTCTGGAGACAGCACCCTTGCGGGGGTCAGCCGCGCTTCGGCTCCCGGAAGCCGAGTGGAGTGTGTGACTGGGCCGAGAGCCAGGAGACACGGCGGGGTGTGGAGGACCCAGGAAGAACTGGCTTGTCTGCTTCCAGGACAGAGATGGCCCTGCCTCAGCCCTGTCACCTAGAGCCCACCCAGCCGCCGCACAGTCGGCGAGAACATGGGCATCATGGGGGCCGGCCAGGGGCTCAGAAAGGAGGGCGAGCCTGCTGGGGACAGGAGAACACGTCCAGGAGCAGGAAGAGGCGCCGGAGGCCCTGCAATCCCTGCGTGGTGTGGCAGAGGCGGGTGACAGAGGGGGTGGCTGGGGGTGGCGGCACTGGCCTGGCTGGCAGCACCCACCCTGGGCTCCTGATCAATCTCCAGAGAGCCGCTCCCAGCGGGCAGGTGCAAGCAGAGCGAGCCTTGGAGCTGAAGCACCACCCCTCCACCGTCCCCACCACTGTGGCTCTGAGACAGCCAGTCACTCGCTGCTCTGAGACAAGCGCTGTCCTCGCTGCTTTCTTCTTGCCGAGACAGAATACCTGCCACCCAGTTAAGGGGAAAGGTTCACTGGCTCAGTTCGTAGAGATTTCTGTCCACCGTCGGCGGGTCCCAAGTCAGGGGCATGGCAGACGGGCACTGAGGAGAAACAGGCCACGCCACGGCAGTCAGGCAGAAGGCGGCGAGGAGCAAGAGCCCTTAGCAGCCTTTCTGCCCCTTTTGGACGCTGTCTAGGCTGCTGGGATTAGGGCTGGGTTGGTGGTCACAGGCCCTTCATCCCAGCGCTGCACCAGGAATCAGCCCCACACCCTAGGCCCAGCCACCTCTATAGAAGCCCCGCCTACGACCGCATGGGGCTGGGGACAGCTAGACACAGCCATGGCATGCCTTGACTCTGTCCTGGGCAGGAACTGTGCAGTGGGCCGGAGCCTGTGTGTCTAAGTAGCAGGAGGTGAGACCCAGGTTCGGGGTTCTGCCTCCAGCCCAGAAGAGGGTCCAGGCAGGCTGGGGATGCCCCCCTCCATGTCCGAAAGCCTTCCTCACCCACGCACCTGGGCAACCAGACACGAGATGCTGCACCCACGGTTCCCACGGCTCCACGGGCTGCAGTGCCTCACCCTGCTCCAGGCTGTGGACAGAAACTTGTTCTGGTGGCCTTCAGCAGAGCAGTGCAAAGCACTGTCCCCGTCCCAGCACATGGGTCATCCTGGGGCCCAGCAACTGGTCACCCCAGGTGACAGCCACCCGGGAAGCACTCCCGCCCACCCTCCTGTGTGCAGGACAGGGCCTCCTGGCCTCCCCAGCAGCTGCCTCTGCCCTCAGCGAGTGCCTCACCTTCATTCACTCCGTGTCCTCCTCTGTGGACCGCACAGAAAGCCAACACCCTGGGCCTCAGCCCTTTCCTGAATGGGGAGGACCCAGAGCCATGGAATCTTCCGTGACCGTCCCTGAGGCCTTATGGGGACATGGGATAATGTCCCAGGGCAGATGGGAGGTGGACGGGTGGGGGCGGAGTCATTTTCCATCGGTGAAGGGAAACTGAGGGCTCAGGAGACAAACACAGGCCAAGGTCAGGCAGCCAGAAGCTGGGGGCCCTGCAGCCACCCTGGGGTCGAGGTGGGCAGTTCCAAGGGCCCAAAGACGAGAAAGAGACCATGACCCAGGAAGACGAGAGAGAGAGAGGGAGAGAGAGGGGGACCAGAGCCCCAGGGTCCTCTCCACCCTCCCAGACGATAAAGCACACCCCTGCTCGGTGCCCTCCCAGCTTCCTGCAGAGCCCGCACCAGGAGAGGACACCAGCAGCCCTGGCCACCCACCTGGTGACAGCCCTTTCCTCTCCACCTGCAGGCGCAGCGCCTGTTCTCCAGAGCCCCGACGGGAACTGGGTGGCCCTGAAGGACAGTGTGGCACCCCCTGCACACCTGCTGGCCGCACGGAAGAGCACAACCCTGCAGGCCCTGGAGGTGCCGCCCCGGGCAGCGTCCGCCTACCAGGAGCTGGGCTCTGACAGTGAGGAGGACTTCGACTGGAACGCAGCTTTGAGCAAGCTGTGCCTGCAGGCCCAGGGTGCTGACCACGGCGCCCCAGCCACCTCTCCCTCCCTGGGAGCCTCCCCCAACCCCGAGGCCATGGGCTCTGACTCCGAGACATCCTCAGCTGGCTCCTCTCGGGATGCGGGGCGCCGGGCCAGGTTCTCCTGGCCGCCCAGGAGGGGCCCCCGGAACCCTGCAGCTGAGAGGCTGCGCCTGCAGGGTGAGCTGGACGTGAACTTCAACCCGCAGGCTGCCAGCGCGGAGACCTCAGACAGCAGCGAGCCCGAAGAGGCCCCCCAGGCTGCGGACTGGCGGGCCAGGCAGTGGCGCAGGGCGCACCTGAACCCCAAGGAGCTGGGCACGGAGCAGTGTGGCCCTCACACCTGCACCCAGGAGCTGCACACACATCAGGTGAGACCCAGGGCCTTCCCGGCATGGCTGCTGCTCGCGGGCGGGGGCGGCGGGGCTTGGAGTCCGACTCCGGTCTCCAGGACCAGATCTTGCTGCTCAGCAGCTGAGCAGCCCTGGCCATGTCTCCAGGGCCCGCGTCCCCTCTGGAGATGATGGTGCAGGTGGCAGCGTGGTCTGCAGCTGCAGCTTCCAGACACCACCCAGCGTGAGGCCCGGGTGGGGACGATGAGGGGACAGCTCCAGGTGGGCGGCCTTGGGCAGCACCTCCCTGGCCTCTCCCGGCCTCCTCTCTGGAAAACGGACCCACCTGTCCAGCTCCCAGGACACGTGACGGTGATGGACCACGTGCAAGAGCTGAGCTCCATCCCACAGACGGCACAGGGGCAGCAGATGTCAGGGTGCTGACTGGGGCTTTGGCCAGGGACCTGCACACGCGTGTGACCGCTGGTCCAGCCACGCCCCTCCGCATCCTCTGAGGCTCTCTCAGCTGGGTCATCTGTGAGCACTGCGGAGACACGGCCAGAGCTGTGAGCGCCCTGCCCGGGAGACACACATCACACACGTCAGACACTCACACACACCCAGTGCACATCAGACATTCATGCACACACATCACACACACTCACTGGTGCATGCTCACATACACCGGTGCACTCAGACACCCTTTGCTGTCACACTCACACTTACACACTTGCATACACACACGTGCCACAGATTCTGACACTCATATGTGCTTACATACAGGTGCACACGCTCATTCACAAACTCTCACACTCACACGTATTGACACATTCACAGGAGAACACACTTATGCACTCTCTCCCACACACGAGTCTTGCTTGTGAGGCTCCCCTGCGGTTTCCCTCGTGTCCTCTGCACACACTTTTCATCCAGCCCTGGCCGTGTGTCCCTGCACAGGGTGTTCGAGCTCGGGAGCAGCCTCTGGCCCGGGACATAGAAACACCCCCGGGGCAGAGCTTGAAGCACAGTTGTGCTGGCATGCCCTCCACCTGCCACTAGGGTCTGGGTAGCCCACCCCTTCCTGCGTCCGCCTGCACCCCCAGACCTGCACCCAGGGGCTGGCGCCCCAGAAGCCGACTCCGCAGGAGCTCAGGGTGGATGGGAGTGAGAAGGGCCGCTCGGCCTGACCCCGTCTGAACCAAGACCAAGGTGCTGGGGCAGTCCAGGGACACGGCCGGGCGTCCCGGCAGGGTCCCAGTCACAGCCACCTCGGTGCAGAGGCGAGCGCGGATGCTGTCCTGTGTCTGGGGCTCCCCAGGGTCCCGGAGGCGCCCGAGGGCACCAGCCAGGTCCAGTCCTGGGCTCGGGAAGCGGGCTCAGGCTCCGAGTCTGTGGACACAGAGTCAGACCTCCCTCCCACCTGACTGCTGACGCATGGCTAGAAAAGGGCTGCTGTGGTCCAGTCCTTCATTTCCCCTCTGCCAGGACAAGATCCCTAAGTGGGCCTTGGGTTGTGATGGCCCTGGATCGGCCCAGCTGGGGAGCCGGGCCCACAGGCACCCCTGAGCGCCATCTGGGGGACTCCTCCCAGGTGTCCATGCCTGCTGTTGCTGCGGATGCGTCAGAGATGCGCTCTGGCGTTGCTCTCCCAGGCTCCACCAGGAGGCGCGGGCCACAGGCCTGGCACCAGCATCGCCTCTGCCCCGGAGCGACCGCAGCTGGTGGCCGTGTCCCCTCCCGCTGCTGGAGGGGTGGCCCTGGGTGGCAGGAGCAGCAAAGCCGGGCCCTAGGGTCGAGTCCTCCCTTCATCTAGCCGACTGGGCGGTTCTCTTCTCCGAAACAATGAATGGCAAGGTCAGGGATGTGGCTCAGTGGCCCCACGCCTGCCCGGCAAGCATAGGGTCCTGAGTTTGATTCCCGGTGCGAAAAAAATTTTTTTTAAAAACATCAGTGTCACGGTATATGTGGGTTGTTACTTACTTTTAGTTATATAAATAAGTCAGTCTAAAACAACTGACAATATTACAATGCAGAAATATTAAAGCACGCAGCTCAGTACCCCTTGCCCACAGCACGGACTCCCTGCCTCGGTCTCCCACTGCCCACAGCGTGCTTTGCGCGAATCTGTGGGCCGGCACTGGAGGACAGCGCGCAGTGGCTGCGGAGTGGCGCCTGCTCCGCCCGCTCTCTCGTCTGCTCTGGGACACATCCCGGGGCGTGGCCCCGCGGGGTTAGGGTTAGGGTGAGGGCGCAGCGTTGGGGCCCGGCCGGAGAGGAGCTCGGCGGGCGGAGGCCAGCAGACCACGCTGGCCCTCGCCACGCAGCGATCGCACAGCCTCCCGCGTGCTCACAGGCCACTGCCCCGCAGCCAAGGGCGTTCGCGGCCTTCTGGGCGTCCCCCAGCCGACGTCACCGCGCCCACTCCTGCGAGGGGCGAGGCACGGCGAGGGCCGCTGTGAGGGTGACGTCACCGCGCTCGACCACGGCGCCACGGAGCTGGGTTGTCCTGCTGCGCTCCGCCAGTTTTGTTTGGGGAGAAACTGGTTAGCACTCATAACCACCACTAGGTCGAGCGTTTCTTCCTGTGAGACTGTTTGCATTTTCTGTTCTGTGAAAAGCACATTCATATTTTTTGTCTCTTATTTTATTGGACTGCTTATCTTTTTCTTACTGATTTTTAGGAATTAGTTTCATTTTAGGGTTAGCCTTTTTATTGGCTGGATTTTTAAATTTCTATTTCACATATTTCCTTCTAGTCACCCTGTACAGACATCTGCTTTTAGAGCTCATCTGATTACCAGTGGCACTGAGTAAACCTCAGGCACAAACGTCTCACGGGAGCGAGCAGGCCGTTCCCATCTTCTCCCAAAGCAAGAGCGGGTGGCTTCCTGTTGTACACTGACAGGTGGCAGAGCTGCTCTTCTTTCCACCCTCGTCTGCACCATCAGTGGCATCTGCACATCAACACTGGAGTCTAAGAGAGCTGCCCAGGCAGGGGTCATCAAGCTCGGAAACTTGGCTCACAGCAGCAGTGCCACCGTTGAAGTCAGAGCCAGAGCGCTGGTCTCCCGAATTCATCCTGAGTCATCTAGTAATTGGAGATGTTCTCTGTCAGTTTCCTTTTCTTTACCATAATGAAAAATTCTGAATACTCAACTGTGCTCAATGAATGCAGAAATGGTGAGGACTTATTGCCCTGCCCACTCACCCTGCACAGCCCCACTGAGGCGCAGCTTCAGGGAGGCCCCAACCTGCCCCCAGCCTCTGCACAGCAGGCACCGTCCGCCTTGCCCTCGGCCACACTGGGCAGTGTTCAGAGAGCTCTGGGCCTCCTCCGGAGGGCTGCCCAGGCGGAGGCCCAGGGAGAGGCCGCTGGTGGAGAAGCGAGAAGGCATCCGGCACCTCTCTGGGTACAGGCACCCCTTAGCAAGTGCCAAATGCAGCATTAGCACAGCCCTCACGAGCACCCCTCAAAGGAGCACGTGTGTCAGAAGCTGCTGCCTCCTGGCTGGCTCCTTGCCTCCCTCTGGCATGAGCAGGGTCCTCACTCTCATTCTGGATTTCCTCCAGGGGCCCAGTGACTTATCGGAGACTGACATCAGCAACGAGGCTGCAGACTCCCGGAGCAGCACCGACACAGCCGAGGAGAAGCGCAGAGCCCAGCTGTATGAGCTGGCCATGAAGATGAGTGAAAAGGAGACGTCTTCTGGGGAGGACCCCGAGTCTGAGCCCAAGACAGGGCCCGAGAACCAGGAGAGCCTGTCTTCAGAGGAGAACGCCCAGAGTGTGCAGGACGAGCTGAGGAAGGTAAGGGCGCAGGCCCGGGAGATGCCGTGTGTGCACAGGTGTGCACAGGTGTGCAGCCTGGGAGCTCTCGGACACACCCACCGGCCAGTGCTCTGAGCGAGCCCAAGCACCTCGCCTGGCCCTGACGTCCCCAGTGCTGTCTCCTGGCCTCCAGGGCCGCGCCTGCTCCTTCTCCCTCCCTGCCACCTCCTCCCTGTGCATTTTGCCCCTAGCTGGGATTAGGCAGAGTCCTGGTATTAACCGCCACCATCTGGGTCCCACATCGTGCTGTTTTCAGATGCCAGTTGGCTTGTGTTAGCCTCAGTGCTTCCTCCAACAAACTGCGTAGAACCCCAGAGCCTCACACAGATGGATGCTTCTCCTAGTGTCCTGAAGCCCCCAAATTTGATCCTCAAGCCCACAGGTCCCCCCTTCCCCAGGTGCCCCGGCAGGCCTGAGCTCTAAGGCACATGGCTTGAAAAACACAGAAGACAGAGCTGGCCTCGGGCAGGAAGGCTTCCCGGGCTCTGCCGCTGTGCCCAGTGTCCTCTGGGTTCTTGCAGCGCACGTGTGGGACTGGGCCATAGGACAGGCAGATCATCCCTGCGGCCGCAGTGGGGCGCTCAGGGCGTTTGCAGAGCCAGCACTTTGTGTGTAGCCATTAGCACCTCGAGTAGCTCTCTGAAGTAGATGCCTCCAGTTTCTGTAGATGGGGAGCCCGGGGCAGAGCACTGCAGTACTCACCCAGGGCCCGGCTCCAACTTCCAGAGCTGAGGCTGTGTGGCCTCGAAACATCGCTTCTTCCTTTGCAAGAATCTCCACCGCCTGCCTTCAGTACGAAGACCCCGCTGGGCTTTGAGAGCTGAGTCCAGCAGAGAAAGCTCCCGGGTCCTTTCCCTTTTGTGAGCGAGCAGTGTGACCCACGTTGTGGGGGTGCAGGGGGCGCCGGCTGTCAGGAATGGGCGGGGTCCAGAGCAGGCCCAGGGGTTGGGGCACCACCTACACACGCTGTGCCTGTGCCTCCCGCACGCACACCCCACCTTCTCCCAGCCGTGCCCCTGGTCCAAGGGTGGGAGTGGAGCTCGGTCTCAGGAGCTCCACCGGTGACTTCCTGGGGGCCAGGGTCCTCTGTGTCACAGGGCCAAGGCTGTGTTTGTCACATTCCTGTGCTGGTGCTGAGTGCAGGCGGTGACTGAGACCTCGTGACACAGCTGACAGTGGCTCTGTGTCCTCCGCCTCTGCTGTCTGCTGGTGCCCAAGCTCTGATCCCCTCAGCACCTCAGCACCCAGGCCTGTCACCCTCACCCGGGCTGCAGTGGTCTCCAGGGCAGAATGGAGCAGGGAGGAGGACGGAGACCCCATGCGGCCCACTCTCACTGAGCAGGAAGCTGAGAGTTGGCTCTGTTTAGATTCCTGAATGTGTCTGCTTCTCACAGCTCAAATCTCGCCTGCAAGTTTGCCCTGGAGCCACAAATACTCAACTGGATATCATTCTTGCATAGAAGAAAAGACAGTTACTGAACTTCTCCATCAGGCCGGGCTGCTCTGGACAGGGAGGGCAGAAGTGAAGCTTACACACTGAATGTTGTTTAAAGCAGGGCATGGGGGACAGAGGTAGGCTTTAGGGTTGGACTTGGGGTGAAACACAAGAATGCACTTTGCACACTCTGCAGAGCTGATGAGTTAGAACTCACTGCCTCCTCGGCCGAGCCCAGGGCTGTGGCTTCTCCTGCCTGCCCCACCCGAGCCTCCATTCCCCAGGCCGGGTTTTCGTGCTTATGGGAGGTGCACACGTTGGCCTCTGCATAGGTGGACGATGCCCAGTGGGCCTCTGTAGGCTGAGTCTGACAGGGCTGCGGAGCCTCGCTCTGTAAAGTGTAAATAATGATGATCACTTGCTCAGCACTGGAGAATTCACAGCCTACACAAGCTCATCCTTCTGCCCCAAATTTAAAAATTACCTTTGAGGACAGAAGGTGGAAAAGATGTCTTCTATGTCATTATTCAGCAGTGGTCTGGCATCATCACCACTGGGATACAACAGGGCCAGATAGTAGAAAACAAAATCACATGATGCATTTCTGCCTTCAGACTTCTGAATTAGGATAACAAAAGTAACTGAAAAGATTATTGGAAATAATGAGTTTGCCAGCATGAACTATCACAAAAGAGAAATGCATCAGCAAAGATTTCCTATACGCTCACAACAAGCTCTCAGAAAATACAAAAGAAAAGTCCTATTTGCAGTAGCAACAAATGTTCAGCAATAGTGCTAAACATACGCTCACATCCAACCCAGCAACCCCACTCCTGTGTTTACCAGCGAGAAATGAAGACCTGTGTCTACACGCTCGCACATACACACAACTGAGAATACTCACTACAACTCGCTTATCACCATCAGCTGGGAGCCGCTGCAGCGTCCCTCTCTGAGCACACGGCGGAGCTCCTCCAGCGGCTTCAGAGGAACGGACGGCGGCGTGCAGACACTGCATCAGTGAGCCTTGCGAGTGGATGCTGAGAGAAGACCCACAGTGTTCCTGTTGCCGACTTACATGACATCCTGGGAAAGGCCAAGCCGTAGAGCTGAGAGACACATCGGTGTTTGCAAGAGGGTGGGGTGAGTGGAAGGTTGACAGAGAGACACGAGGGAATGTTCTTAGTGTAGTGGAAATATGTGATGACTTGATTTGGTGGTAACTACAAAGCTGTGTGCATTTGTCAAAACTCACAGATTTACGTACCATTACGGGGGTTGGGGATTTAGCTCAGTGGCACCTCACCTTCTTCGAAAGTGCAAGGTCCTGAGTTCGATCCCTGGTACCAAAAAAAAAAGATCCTTACAGGGTAAATGTCACTGTATGTAATACACAAATCCGCACGCATACACATGGAGGCCTTGCTTAACTGCACCAGAAATGTGTAAGACTCATGAATGCAGCTAATGAACTTTGCTCGGTGCCATGCAGAATGACTGAGTTGGTGTAGAAACACCCTGTGAGGGTGAAGGGAGCTTCAGGCTCATAGACATCGTTTTCCCCAAATGAAGGCGGACGTTTGACAGAATGAGCTTAGTTTGGAAACGTGATGAAGGTTTTCTAAAGTTCATCTGGAAGGGTAAGCGTGTGAGACGTGGCCAAGAAAGCTCCGAGCACAGTCTCAGCAGCCGTGGGAGCAAACAGACGGATGGAGCCCACCAGGAAGGAGAGGCCAAGGCCGTACCAGCCGGCCGTGCAGGGTAGGACTGAGAGCACTGGGCAGGTGCTGTGTCGCACGCTCAGCACGTGGGTCATGGCTGGTCAACCGGGAAGAGCGAGGTGGATCCTCGCATCACACCACACTGCAGCCGGCCCTCTCGGGCAGGGGCCACAGTGCGGACGGGAAGAAGCAGTGCGGCCACTGGCATCTCAGGTGCACCTCTCGTGGCCTTCGCACTCCGGCAGCCGGAAACCTGGGGGCTGCTGTGCATGGCCATGCAGAAGTCAGGAACTGGAAGCCATGAAAAGCCAGTGAGAGCAACAAGGAAACAGCAGTCAGGGAGACGCGGTACCCAGGTGCAGAGTGTGGGTCAAGGAGGAGCAGCCCACGGCCCCGGGGCAAGGCAGTGTGCAAAGGAGCAGGCACACGCATCACACACCACACACATGCAGCCCTGCACACACACACACACACACACACATACAGCGTACTACACGCACACATGAATGTGAACGGCCAGCGAACTAATGACAAGTGCTGAGTGCTCAGCTGCGTTGCGCTTCAGTTCGGCAGCACGCCTGGCCCGGAGCTGGCCAGTGGAGGCTCGCAGGTCTCCTTCTCCTCTGACGAGTGCCCGGCACGCCCACTTCCCCGCTTGCCGGGGAGTCACCGATCCTGGCGCACTCCACCGGTGCTCAGCCAGAGAGCACGACGGGCAGATTGCCTGACCACGTGGCAGCTGGGGGCGGTGGTCACGGGGAGCACGGGGCACCGACCTGCAGGGGCCCCGGCGCCTGACGGCTCCTTGCGCATGGGCCCCGGGGCCACCGCAGGGTCAGGGCACACCTGCGCTCCCGGGTTTCTGCTGGAAGTGGGGCGCAGGGTGTGCTCAGCGCAGGCCCTGGCCCTCGGCTCCCCCTGGGAAGCACAGGGGCATCTTGGGGATGGGATTCGTGGAGCGGGGAGGCAGGGGCTGCGGAGCAACAGGGCAGGTGTGGGCAGCCGGCAGCTGGGCCAGGGCCGGGCGAGTGTGAAGTCTCAGGTGGAGGAGGTGGAGGAGGTGGAGGAGGTGGAGAAGGAGGACGAGGTGCGCATGTCCTACCCGTGGTGGTCGCCCCGCGCCATCGTGCGTGCGTGTGCACGTGTGTGCGTGCGTGTGTGCGTGTGCGTGCGTGTGTGTCTCTTGCCTAAGAGGCAAGTCTGTCTTCTGAAACTGAGGGCCGCAGGCCCAGCGGGGTCACCGGAGGGCTCTGGTGCGTATTCCCAGGAGCGGGAGGCGCTGGACAAGGGTGAGCAGAGAAGCAGCAGGACGCCTTGCATTTACCAAGGTCACCGGGCCCCCAGGGCTCTGCTCTCACAGCGAACACGAGAGGACGTGCAGTCCGGGCTTCTGCAGAGCGGAGTGTGCACCACCGACCCCGGCCCCCGCCCGCAATGCGGAAAGGCTCCCCGTGGACATAGGCACCCGTGCGTGAGGACAGCCGCGGAAGAGCAGAGGTCAGGCCAGGAGAGGAACTGCTGCCTGCCCGCGCCCAGAGGGAAGCTGGCTCAGAGGCGAAGGCCCTGGCGCCCAGCCTGCCACCTCCATGGCGTCCTGCCCCACACCGTGGTGGGCACAGCGGGAAGGGCAAGAAAATCGCCTCAGGCAGGCACAGGTGGCTGGGTTTCGTCCTGGGGCTAAGCCACAGGCAGCGCACGCCTCGTCATTTATGTTTTCATCACCGATAGACAGGGAACAGTCTTGTTCCTCTCTGGAACGCCTCGGCCCTCGGAGCGGGAGGCTCAGGACCCACTCGGCCCTCCCCGGAGGCCACGCGCGCTGCCTCGGTCTCCGTCGGGTGCGAGCACCGCTGATGACTGGGTGCTGGCCTAGCAAGCTCTGAGCAGCTCCTTCACGCGCCGTCTGCTCCCAGCGGCCCTGTCGGGGAAGAGCCGTTCTGGAGACTGTATTTTGACGGGTTGTGGAGACACCGCCTGGGGCCTTCTGTTTCACAAGAACCAAAATATATTTGCACTGAATTTTTCTCACAGACTCCTGTCAACTTCTTAGCAGAACATATGGAGTTTCTTTTCTTACTTTTGAAAAGGAGAGAAAGACATGAAATCAGGGTATTTGGACACATTTCCCTGCTTGCTCTGGCGGCTGGATGAGAACATGTCACAGAAGATGGGACAGAAAAGCAGGAGCAGACTGGGGCCTGGACTCGCTTTGTCCCCCTGACCGCCTCACGGCTCAGCCCGGGGGCTCTGGCCGCCCAGGGGCTGCTCGTGGAGACACTGCTCCCACCGCAGCGTGGCACTGTCTCTCCTTCTGCATCAGCTGAACAGAGGCCTGAGGGCCCCGCCTGAGCCCCAGCGCGTGGTCACTTCCTGTCCGCGGAGCGGGCTGGCCCTCGGGAACACACCTTGGAAGAGGGGCGGGCGGGACAGCAGGGGGAGTCCGGGCTTGGAGGCCAAAGTCTCTGGGCTGGAGTCCCGGCACTGCATCGCCCCTGCGCCAGAGATGAGGGGGAAAGCCCACCGGCCCAGGGTCGCGCAGGATGGGCCCTGAGCTGCCTGTGTCCTGCTCGCCCCTCCGGGTCTGCTGGGAGCCCGAACTGCAGAAAGGCCTCAGCTCTGTGGCACTGTTCCCCATCACCCTTCGGAGGTCCAACTTGCCTTGGAAGACCCCGACGGCTGGAGCGGGCATTCGGAACACCCCTGCAATCCCAGCACTCCAGGAGGCTGAGGCAGGAGGGTCGGGAGCCCTGCCTGGGCAGTTTAGCAAGTTAGAGGGACCCTGCCTCAAAAATTAAGCAAAGGGCTGGGGATGTAGCTCAGTGCAGGCCTGGGAGTGATCCCCAGTTCCAAGCATAAATCAGGCAGTCAGTGAGGAAGACCCCTCTGCACTCTCCCGTATGTCTCAGGCACATCCATCTCCGTTTCACAAAAGCCACCTGTGAGGGTCTTGGCCCCTCACCCCTGCCGGGAAAACCTGGCATTGGAAACAACAAATTTAAAACAAATGGAGCAAATGACTCGAGGAACTGGCGTCTAACAATCACCCAGTCTCTCGGGCTGTGATAAAGAGGCTCTGGACGCTGCCTTCCCCTATTTCAGAAGGACCCTGGCCCTGTCCGTCCCAGTGTTTCGGGCCCTTCCTGGCCTCAGTTTCCCCAGGCCACCTGCCGTCCTGCACCTCCCCGAGGCCCCTGTGCTCAGCTCTGGGAGTCTGCGCCTCTCTCCCCTCTATGGCTGCCACGCCCTGGGTCCTGGTGACCTGGGCCAAGCAGTAAGAGGGCCCCACTCCCCCTGCTCCCGTCCCCAGCTGAGGCCCTGGGCCCTGTAGTCGCGCCTTGGGTGCACGTCCCGGCTCCTTCCGGCCCTCAGAGGCGAGGCGCACACCCCTACCCATGGGATCCTAGGCATGAATGAGGCACAGGTGCTGCTCCCGGCACCTGGCGCTCAGGTCTTGGGACACAGCTGGTGCCACCGCGGCAGCAGGAAGGCGTGTGGCCCTCGCCCCTTGTGCAACCCCGGCTCAGGGCACCCAGACCTGCCTGGCCCCTGCCCCCTGCACCCCGTGCCCGCCCTGCTCCAAGTCTGCCGTGCGGCTTCCCCCCGCACCCTGCAAGCCCAGGGCGGCAGCCGGCAGGGAGGGGAGCCTCCCAGGGCCCGGGTCCCGTCGAGGGGACACTTGGGGCTGTGTCCCGTCGAAGTGAGGAGGGCGCAGCGGCAGCAGCACGAGCATCCTCCATCCTCTCGGGACCCGGAAAACAACAGATGAGAGAGGCAGGCTCCTGGTCCACGACTGCGGGTGAGCGCCTGGATGCGTGCGGTTGTGTGAATGCGAGTGTGTGTGTGAGCTGTCGCCTGGAGCAGACCATGCTGCGTTCTGGGATGCGCTGCTGTACTTCACTTTGGCTCTCTTCCAGCCTCCTTTGGGAGATCCTGGCGGTACTAGTTGGTGCTAGATTCTAGTCGTTTTTTTCTTTTTAAAATACTCTCGTTTGCAGCCAGGTATGGCGACGTTTGCCTGTAATCCCGGCCCTCGGAGGCTGGGGCAGGAGGGTCCCTGAGAGGCCGAGGCCAGCCTGGACTGCACAGTGAGACCCTGTCAAAAACAAAAACTCATCTGGCAAAAGAAAATCAGAAACAACTGGGAAACAAGAAACGGCAGGAATGGTACAAAATGGCCAGAAGCCTTCTTCAAGAGGCCAGGCGGGCAGGCCAGATGTGCCCAGAGCCCACACTGTGGACCGATGCCCCGGCCGCCTTGCTGTGCGCTTCTCCCTCCCGCCTTGCAGGCCCAGGGAGGTGGGCGCAGCCCCACAGGGAACCCTCCAGGGCTCAGTTTCATGGAGCTGTGAGGCGGGCACAGAAGCACCCACCCCATAGGCCCACAGCACCCCGGCTCCTCTGCTGTTTGGGGGACGCTCAGGGGGCTCCGCCATGGCCCGTGCCACATGGGGCTGCCCTGAGTCTGCAGCTGGCCCAGCCCTGTGGCAGCATCACAGGCGGCCCGGGCACCTTCCCACCAGGGCTCCGGGCCAACAAGCCTGAGGTTTGTGGTCCCTCCTGCGTTAAGAGTTAAGAAAGGATGTTTTAGGACTGCGTGGGTGGAGGCATCGCTGTACACATGGGTATTAGAGCACACTGCCCGGACGGAGTTCAGTGTACGTGTGCGTGTGCACAGGCCCTGTGCTGCCCCTGCTGTGCCCTTGCCGACAGTGCCGTGCCTCTGCCTTCCGTTTCTCCACTGACCCTTGAGCTCCAGGCCACTTCTCACTGTGCCCCCTCCCTAAGTCCCTCCCCCTCAGCATCTTGCTGCAGATGCTGTGTTGGATCCATCTCTGCAGCGAGTAGGAAACTCTCCCTTCTGCCCAGCTTCCACACACACGGCCTTGCCCTCAGAGCTCTGTGTGCAGTGTTGCATCCAGCCTCACACATAGGAAGAGACAGAGTGGCCTGCCACACACAGCCCAGTGAGGCTTCGTGGCAGCCCGGCTGTGACACAGGTGTCCAAGTGTGCGCCAGGTGGGGCCCCGGAGCCCCTGGTCCCTGCAGAGCGGCCTTGTCCTGTCAGGCTGCCTTCTGCTCCCCACATCCCCGGCTTGGGGTGCTGGGCTGGAAAAAGCCCCTGCTGTTCCCCTAGAATAAAGTTGGCCGGCATCAGGAAAGATCACCAGGAAGAGCTGCCTGCTCAGTGCTTGGAACGAAGCTTCTACAGAGACCACAGAGCCAGTGAGGACCCAGGAGAGCAGGGCGAATGGGGAGGGCGGGCGAGGATGGGCGCAGTGTCCACGGAGAGGCGCCAAGGACACGGGCCGGTTCCCTCCCTGGCTGGGCCTCAGTGCCCTCTCAGTGCAGGTGACACAAGGGAGCCCCTTGCCAGGTCCCACAGCCGAGGCAGCTGCCACCGCGGGCCCCACAGTGGCTGTGGCTGACTTGCAGGAGGGAGCGGAGCACAGCCAGGCCCCAGGTGCCGGGCAGGGGGCAGACAGCTCCCGCCTGAGCGCCCCCAGGCCCAGGACCCGGAGGGGCCCGGCCTCCTCCCACGGCTGTCCTCCCTCCCTCTGCACGTGGATGTCTGTGCTATGACAGAGTCGGGCTCCTGATGCGCACCGGGGTGATGTAGGGTTTCTGTGTCATTGTTAATCTACTGTTCTTGTCTTCTGTCCCCTTCTGTTATCGGACCAAACAGAAGTATTCTGCTGTTTCTCTCTGCAACATCTCCACAGAAGTCCTGAAGGTCATCACTGCCACCGAGGAGCTGGTCGCAGGGTCCACTGGGCCCCGGGAGCTCCCTCCAGTCCCTGCTGGCAGCGAGGAGGGGACGTTTCCTCTCAGGGCCAAGCAAGCAAGACTGGAGGAGCAGCTGACCTCCCTGGAAGAGAGCGTAAGGGGCGGACGTGGCTGGCAGGGGGCGCTGTGGGTCGCCACCAAGCGGGAGGACGCATCACCACGGCCACCGTAGGAAGCGTGGCCTGGGAGAGCAGACAGTCTGAGGAGGGCCTGAGACCAGCAGCTGACAGGGCGTTCTCTCAGGGAGGCAAGGAAGGAGGGAGGGGGCAGGAAGCCAAGCAGGGTTAGGGCTTGGCCGGGAGTCTGTCCCGACCTAGGGCAGAGGACAGGGCCCTCCCTTGGCCAGCAGGGACAGCAGTGACTCTGTGTGCCCCCAAGTATCCCCAGAGGATGCCCCCGTAGGGAACAAGTGTAATGCAGCTGGGCACAGTGGGTGTGCAGTCGTGCAGTGACACTGACAGCTACACCATCGAGTCACACATGTTCAGGCTCAGCCAGGTGACTTCACTCCAGGCCATTACACTGGACATGGGGCCAGCACAGGGGCCCTGCACAGGCCGAGGTCCTAGGCTCCACCTGGGCACCTGGGGGCCCAGAACCAGGAGATGGTGAGGCTCGGTGGATGGAAAAATCACCAAGAGGAGTGAAGAGGTCAGGGTGGGAAACCATCTGAGGATGCTGGCTAGAGAAACCCTGCAGGGTGGGCGCCGAGCACAGACCAGGCTCTGTGGACAGCGCGGATCCCCAGCCGATACTGAGGACGGCCGCAGGCTGAGGGCAGCGACTCTGGCCAACCCAGCTGAGCAGGGCTCTCTAGGTAAGACAGGTTTATGAAGAAGCGAGCAGATGGGCTGGAAAAGACTCGGAGCGGGCTGATGGTTAGCAAGGGGGTTGTGGAGGGCGAAGGGTGTGCAAGGAGGCTGCCCGTGCCTGCAGGGAAGGGGAGAGGAGCCCAGGGGACCTCAGTCCCTGCCCCGGTCCTGCCCGCTGTCCCCGCTCAGGCCGCCCACACAGGCAGCTAGCTGTCTTCGCCGTCTCCAGCAAACACCCCAGCCCTGTGCCCAGAGCAGGAAACCCCCCGCCCTCCTCCCCACGAAACTCCACCCTGAGTATCCAGGCCCCCAGGGACTGGGTGGGCTGCTTCGCCCCAGCACCTCGTGACCACATCAAGGCCCAGATGCCTGGTCACTGGTTTCCACAGCCCTCCTCTCTCCTAGCTCCCTGGCTGATCAGAAGGAAAACTCCTAAAATCAAGTACACTCAAATGCATGTTTCCTTTTTAAGTTTTATTAGGACATGTTTGCAATACATGAAGTTTGCATGTAGCAGTGGGTGCATGTACACGACACAGCTTGATCCTTTTGCTAATCCTCTTCCTCTTCCCACCCACCTCCCTCCACCTCTGAAGCCCGTTTCTTCTCGTCTTTATCATGAGTCTTAGCTCCTGTTTATGACGTCATTGCCCAATTCACTGAGGCTCCGGCTCTGGCCCAGGGCAGATCCCAGCTCTCCTTCCTGCACGCCCGCCCTTGGTCTCTTGGACGCTGCCTATGTGCAAGGGCTCTAGCTCCTAGTTTCCTTCTGTCCACCCTTCATTTTGCTCTTTGTCTGTACTCAGATGAGGAACAGCGTATGCTATTTAAGCTTTTGTGTCTGACTTATTTCACTCAACATTATATTTTCCAGGTGCATTCATTTTCCTGTGAATGTCTTGAATTGATCCCTCTTTCTAGCTGAGTAGCATTCCATTATGCACAGATGCCATTCTCTTAATCCAGTCATCTGTTGAGGGCACACGGGCTGCTTCCAGGATTGACCTTTTAAGAATTGTGCTGCTACAAACATTGGTGTCACTTTGGGGAAGATCCCTAGAAGGGAAGGGCTGTGCCATGTGGAATTCCAATTTCAGCTCTTTGACAAATCTCAGAACTGACTTCCTCGGTGGTTGCGCTGGTGTCCGTTCTCACCAGCAGTGGGGGAGGTTCCTTCTCCACTGAGCCACGCCGGCATTTCTTATTCTTTGACTTCTTGATGGTGGCCATCCTTACTGGTGTAAGATGGAATCTTAGCGTTGTTTTAGTTTGCATTTCTCCAATAGCCAGAGACAGTGAACATTTTTTCATACGTGTGTTGGCCGTTTGTACTTCCTCTGAGAAGTGTCTGTGCATTTCTGTTGCCCGTTTCTTGATTGAGTCTTTGATTTGGGGTGATCTCACTTTTTTGTTTCTTTGTACATCTAGATATTAGCCCTCTGAGGTGTTGCTGGCAAAATTTTTTTCTCGTCCTGTGGGTCGCCTCTTCCTCTGCTGATTGTTTCCTTTGCTGTGCAGGAGATTTTAATTCGATAAAGCCTGACTCATTGATTCTTGCTGCTACCTCATGTGCAGTTGGGGCTCCGTTGGGAAAGTCCTTGCCTACACCTATGACTTCAAGTGCTTTACCTTTTTAACCTTGAGGTAGATTCAGCGTTTCTGTTTTAAGGTTTAGATCTTTGATCCGTTTTTATCTTAGTTTAGTGCATGGTGAGAGATAGGGGTCCAGCGTCAGCCTTTGCAAACACATGGCCCGTTTTCCCAGCACCATTTGCTGAACAGTCTGTCTTACTGACTTTACAATGAAACCTATAGTTCTCTGAAAAAGGAGAGTGAAGGGAAATCAGAAAATAAGAAGACATCTTGCGTAGGCAGATCCGGTCTTGCCAGAAAGGCCATGCTCCCAAGACTGGTGCACAGGTTCGATGCCATCCCAATCAAAACACCAACAGCGTTCCTTGCAGAGCTACAGAAACCAACCCTAAATTCGTAAGGGACCAGAAGAGACCGAGAATGGCAAAAGCAATCTCGGCCAAGAAGAGCAAGGCAGGAGGCGCCACGAACCCTTGACTCAAGCCATGCAATAAAGCTGCGCTGATAAAACAGCATGGCCCTGGAGCACAAAGACACGCGCCAGGGGAGCGGAACGGAGGATGCGGAAGCAGCCCAGACACATTCAGCGACTTGCTCTTCAACAGAGGGCCAGAAGTCGCATTTCTTCTTCGGAGATATGTTAGGGTAACACTTGCCCAACGTAAACGCGCCCCACACGTGAATAATTGCGCTGCACAGGCACCATCGCCACTTTCGGAAGCAGCCCCGCCAAGAGACGCCAGAGAAGGGCCTTCCCAAAGCGGTTCCAGCCTGGATCACAAACGCCTTTCGTCCTTCCCTCCCGGGACGGGGGCGCGCTGCGGCTGCCAAGAGCCCTGAGGAAGAAGGGAGGGAAGGAGCTCCTGTCGGCGACTGCCGACTGCGCGTCTCCAAAATGCACACATCTCACTAAGAGCGGGAAGGGTGCCCTGGAGGGAAGGCAGCAAGGCAGGAAGGGAGGCAGCAAGGCAGGAAGCTGCCTCGGTTGCCCCTTAAGGACCCTGCTCCTGCCCTGGGCCCCTGTGGTATCGGCTCCTCTCCTGCCCTGGGAGGCTGGGCCCAGACACAGGGCCTGGGAGGGGCTGGGGCCTGCAGGGCTGGGCAGGGGAGGGCGGATGACGGGAGGGAGGTGACTGAAACCTGCTTCCCAGATGAAGGGACTGAGTCAGCTCACTGCCAGGAAGAGGGTGGCACAGCTGGAAGCAAATTCTAGTTAACATGCTCACGGTTACCCTTCTTCCGCCACTCTCGCATGATTTACACTCCTAAGGGGAATGAGCAGGTACAGTTATTTCTGTTAAAGGACTCAGTAGTTTCTTCCTTCCATTCATGGAAGAAAAACATCTTTGCGTGTGGGTGCGTGTGCCAAGGATGGAAGCCAGGGTCTTGCACGTGCAGGCAAAAGCTCACCACACCCAGCCTGAGGAAGAGAGCAAAAGTTAGCACCAACGCAGAGGTGACCGGGCCTGGGTGCAGGAAAGGCCCCTTGGCCTGAGGAGGAGCACCTTCGTGTGCCTATGGAGCAGACCTGCCTCAGACCCTAACCGTGGGTCATTCTATCCTCCTGCTTGTGAGAAAGAAAGAGGAGAAGTGTCCACAGCAGTGTGAGCGCTCCCTTCTGGCAGGGATCATCTGGTCCCCAGGTCATGGGGTCACTCACCACTGTCCGTCATCAGCTGGGAAGATGACATCAGACCCGGGCAAGGGATTCTGTCACCTGACCTGCAGTGGACCCTGCTTCAGGGCCTTGTGAACGCTATTCCCGGAAATCAGAAGCTGGTATTAGAGGTATTGTGACAAAATGAAACAGCAACCAGCATATGACTTGACAAAAATGCCACCATTTGTTCCACTTTGAAGTTGAAGGCTCTCCCTTTGGCTGCCACCAAGCCCCAGCTACGTCCCTTTGACCGTTTCCCCTCTGCCATCATTTCTGTCCACGTATCCACTGCTGCCAGATGTTCCAGGTCTGATGGGCCCTGTCCCATGCATTGTATGTTTAGCAGTGTCCCTGGCCTGTGCCCCACTAACTGGTAGCAGTAATATCTTCCTAATTATGACTATCAAAAACGCTTCTGTACTTGTCACCTTTCTATCACTCTGACAAAACACCTGAGAAACCTGTGTAGGGGAAGAAAGGTTTATCATGGCTCATAGTTTCAGAGGGCTTGGTCCATGGGCTCGTGGCGAGGCAGAGGATCATGGCAGAGCACACACTGGGTCAACATGGCCTCCTGATGGTGCACAGGAGGGAGACAGAGGAGGGTGGGACCAAATGTCATTCCCAAGGCCACACCCCCATGACCTGCCCCTTCAGCAAGGCCTCACCTCCTCATGAGACCTCGTCAGTGGGTAAGTCTCCTCGTGGACTAGCACTCTTGTGGTCCAGTCACTTCCCAAAGCCAGCAGATGGCCTCAGGGGACATCTGCAGTCCCAACAGCAGCTTGCAAGCATCGTCCACGGTTAGGGACAGGGAAGAGGCATGGTTGCCCCAGGCTATACAGCAGCCTTAGTGGCTCCCATGTCTTTCCATTGTGGAGCCCAGCCCTGAGCCCTGTCCAGCCCGCAGGGCATGATGACCCCCAGAATGTCCTGATGGACGATGACATCAGTGGATGTGGACAGAGCCCTGTTGCAAAGAAGGGTGGTTTCACTCCAAGTGTAAGTCAAGTGTGTCTGTGACCTGGGTGTTTCAGTTCCAGACTCAACTGAAAGGTTTTCCTTTAAAACAGAATATGATAGCAGAGAACCACGCATGAAGAGTCCTGACTTAGCCGCCACAGTGGCTTCTCATCATGTGCTGAGAGCAGACGGTGCCTTTGCTTGGCCCCAGGGGCGTGTTTAATGCCCGGGTGGGGGCCTCATCTGTGCCAGGCTTCTGCTGTGATGCTTGGGGCAGGGCTCATCTGCACACAGGACCCCAGGGACCAGAGACCACCCTGCGCCACGGAAGATTCTCCTGCCCCCAAGAGTTAAAGCCTCTTCTGTGTCCTCGAATTCTGTGGCTGTCCAGTTGTTGCTGAGGCCTTTTCTTCCCTCTCTGGCTCCAGATCATGTTGTCCCCGGGTGGAATTCGACCGAGCCGGGGACAAGGCCTCCGGTGCAGCAGGTTTAATAGAAGCGGCTCTGTGGGTTGTGCTCTGTGGGTTGTGCCGTAAAGACTGCGCCTCCGGCCTTAGCTGCCTTGGCGGGAAACAGGAGCGGCCAAGCGACTCTCCCTCTGGGCAGCCCCTGCGGGCGGCTCTGGGACGCAGCAGGTGTGTGATGAGAACACTCACCTTGAAAGTCACATCTGGGGCTCTTGGAGCCGCAGGTCACACTCGGAAACCCCCTGCACACCCAAGCCCTGTGTCCATGACCTGCCACCCGGGAGTCACAGACTCACCGCTCCCCTGCCACCCGTGTCCACCCTCGTCCCCAGCAGGGAGCAGAGGGACCCACACAGCTGGCTGGTCAGTCCCTGGGCTGAAGGGGTCTCTGGTGTTTGAACCCCTGTGGTGCGGAGTGTCTGGCTGGGGTGGGGCTGGGAGAGCAGCCTGTGTAGTGGTGGGACACTTACCCCGGGGGTGGCAGGGAAGGGACGCGCCCTTCGGGAACTGTGCCACCCTGGCCATGGAGCCAGAGCCCAGGGCGGACTGGAGCCCTGAAGAGGCCCCGTGGGAGCCACAGCTGCGGTGAGGAAAGAAATGCTCTTAATGGGCTTTCCGCCCCGCTTTTATTTTTTTAAGCAACACTGGGGATTGAACCCAAGGCCTCTGCACTGAGCTACCCCCCCTTTTATTCTGAGACAGGGTCTTGCTAAGTTGCCCAGGCTGGGCTTGATCTCACAGTCCTCTGCCCCAGCCCCCCGGGATGACAGACATGCGCTAGCACAGCAGCTCCTTCCCCCGCCTTTAACCTCCTGCTGGTGCCCATCCGCCCGCCCCCGCCACAAGCCCAGGTGATGAGCTGACCTCGGTCGTCCCAGGGAGCAGAGCCAGACAGCGCTGAGAAGGCCGGAAAGCAACAACCTGCTTGCGGCCTCCCGGGCCCGCTCCCCCGGCCCCGTCTGAGGACCCGCGCGCCTCTGCCTCCGTCCTCACTGTGACGGGCAGCCCGGGTTCCCCTGCTCCCAAGCCCAGCCTCTGTTCTCTCTGCCCTGGGTCCCTGTCGTGCAAGAGAGGCGGCAGCAGACACCAGGAGTGTCCCGGGCCGTGGCAGCAGCCCCGGTGTCGGAGGAGCTGGCCCTGCATGCACGGGCAGCCGTGCTCAGTCAGGAACCGGAGAAGAAAGCCCAGAGGCCACTGTCCTCGCTTGGCCCCCGCGCGCTCATGGCGGTCGCGCCCACGCATGCCCCAGGCCGGGTGACTCGGGGGACGTGCGCAGCCCCCTCAAGGAGAGCGGAGGCCCGCAGCCGCCAGCACCGACCAGCCCCGCAGCACAGAAGCCAGGGTAGCGCTCCCTCCCGTGGGGGACCTGGCCGCAGACTCCCCCTAACACACCTGTCCTCCTGTGACCCTTCAGCAAGGCCTCACAGGGTCTGCGGCTAGGCTTGAAGGGGACACGGACTGCGCAGTTGAGGTGACCTCGGTTCTGCCCACAGGACCGAACTAGGCGAGCAGTGCCCGGGGTGCTGCTGGGGCGGGCGTCTGTGCGGGGCACATTCACCCTGTGGTGCCTGCTAGCTTCCGGCTGGCGGCAGAGCCCGCGTTAGACCCACTGCACTGCAGCAGCTCTGGGTGCAGCTTCCTGCTAGGCCGGGAGCACTAAGACGCGATGACATTCCAGCTGGGACCGGGCCCAGCATCCCCCACTCACGCCCAGGGCCCCCCTCTTCCACCTGGGGCACAGGGTCTCCCCGGTACCCGTCGGCGTGGCCACAGCATGGAGTCATCAACCCTGGCCCAGCGAGTTCCTGTCACCTCCTCCTCATCCTGCCCACCAGGTGCTGCCCTGCGAGGCCAGGCCGGCCGCGGACACACACAGAGCTGGCAGGGCAGGCTGTGGGCACGGGAAGAGATGAAGCCCCGGCCTTCCACAGCTCTGCGGCTCTTTCTCACTGCTCTGCCCCCGGTAGAAAAGGAAAGAATTTTGGCAGCGACATGTTGGAAATGCAAGCAGCTGTCGGGGACACAACGTGGGGCTGCCCAGCTCTGAGGGTCTCTGGGGAAGCCAGGGCCCGAGACCGGGTGGCATTTCTGCTTGCCACACCTAAATGACTCATTTCAAGGGAATCATAAGTCAAATTTTGTTGCATCATTTAAAAAACCAGACATATTTTAAGGTATGTATCTAAACTAAATTTGCCATTTTTAATACGGATAGGAAGAGGCATTTGCAAAGTATAATAAATTCCAAATGCTCTTTCTCTCTCCCTTCAAATTGTTCTTCAAAACTTTTAGTACATTTTAAAGGACTTCATCCACTCCACTCCTTTGAAATACAGAGGTGCCTCGCTTCGCGAACTGAATTCACCCCGCAGTTGTGGGGAAGAGCCGAGGTCACGACCGTCGCCTGACACGGACTTTGCCCGCAGAACTGAGACGGTGCTGCACTCACCACGGCTCTGCTCTGACGAACGATGAAGACAAGAAGTAACTGTGACTGTCTTAGAAGCAGGGTCTCCCCAGTCATCCTGAGGTGGGGAGAGAAGCAAGGGCGGCCTGCGCGGAGCTCGGCGACAACGGACGGATGGGAGGACGGACAGACAGGCGCCGGCGCTGCGAGGCAGGAACCACGGGAGCCACCGCTCGCCGCCCTGCGTCCCGAAGGCTCCCACACGCCCCGCCCTCTCTCCGCCGGACGCGCCCTGCGAAGCGCCGGCTCTGACCCGGGAGCGCGTCGCACGAGGGATCCTAGGACGGGCAGCTCGGCCCTCGGCGCTCACAGCATGCACACCGCACTGGCCGTGCAGAGACGAGGGTGGCCGGTGTGCAGGGTGCCTGGCGTGGCCCAGCGTCCTGAAGTCAGCTCGAGTCGCAGCCTGGCTCAGCTCCACTCCGATCGCTGTGACTCCTGTGCCAGTGCCGTGCGCGCTGACTGCGCATCCAGACCTGTCTGCAAGCAGCTGCCTTCCGTGGACACACCGTGGCCCTCGCCGAGTGTGTTTCCATCACGTATGGAGGAGGCTGAGGAAGTGTTCGTGAAAAGCACCTTCTACCTTCTTGTCAAAATATATCTTAGCTGGCCAGGGGTTTATCTCGGTGGTTCTGCCTCCTGCTTTGCAAGTGCAAGGTCCCGGAGTTGGATCCCCAGTACACATCCTACCTGGGCAGGTGGCTCACACCCACGATCCCAGCACTCTGGGAGGCTGAGGCAGGATGATCACAGTTCAAGCCCAGCCTGGGCAACTCAATGACTTAGTGAAACCCTGTGTCAAAGTGAAAAGTAAGAAAAACATTGGGGACATAGCGCAGCTCAAAGGCCCTGGGTTCAACCGGCAATACCACAAAAAAGAAAGGTCTTTTATTTCAAGTTAGTCTGATTTGCTCTCTGATTTTAAATAGCTCTCAAAAGATCAACCTAACGGACACAGATTTCACGTGTCTCTCCTAACATCATACTTTCTTCTGAGAAAGGGCTTTCCTACTCTAAATTTTAAGTTCACTTTAATTACCTTAACTCATTTTGAACAAGCAGAAAGTCATTCATCGAGATGATTTACTCAAAATTGGCAGTTATTTTAAACTAACCACCACTTCGTGGTGAGTTTTTCTCAATTACTGACTGCCAACCAAAACTTTTACTGGGAAAGATCCAGTCCTGAGCTTCAGTCTTTGTTTCCGGAGTCACTGGCATCCCTTACAGGCAGCCCACAAGCTCCGTGTCCTGAAGGAATGCTGGAGGGGAAGTGGGTGTGGCTGGGGTGAAGGGTGGTGAAGGGCGTCTCTCCCGAGGGACTCCCTTTCTTCCTGATCCCTGCACCTCGGGGCCCCTGGGGAGCATCCCGCAGGTGTGCGCACCTGAGCGGCCACTTCACTTCTCCCCAGGTGTACCTGGCAGCAGGCACAGTGTACGGGCTGGAGGGGCAGCTCGCCGCGCTGGAGGACGCAGCCTGCAGCATCCACAGTGGCACCCAGGACACGGAGCTGGCGGAACTGGAGGACCAGGTGGCTGAGGCCGCTGCCCAGGTGCACCACGCAGAGCTGCAGGTAAGGGAGAGTCACGCCCGCCAGGGCTGCCGCCTTCCGTGGCTCGTGCAGAGGGCATCCACCAAGCCTGCCCCTGCATAGCGCAACTGTCTCCCCCCGAACCACAGCTCCCATAGCACGCTGGGATTCTCTTTGCTGCCCTGTACTGGTTTCCTCCTCGACAAATCACCCTGCTGTTGAGCCCCGAGACCATCCTCCTCCAGCCAGGGCCACGCTCGATGCCCGTCTCCCCACCGTGGCCTCAGGCTCTGTGAGGATGGGGCTGTGGCTGTCTTGCTTAGTGTGTGGCTCCGGGGCCTCTCACCCTGCCTGACACGCAGTGGGGACGTTCGTGTCTTGATGAGGGTGGCCTAAAATACAGTGACTGGGGCCGGGGAGTTCGCTCAGCGGCACCATGCCTGCCTCACAAGCACAAGGTTGTGAGTTTGATCCCCGGCACCATAAATGAATAAATAACAAAAATAAAAATAAAATACGGTGACTGCTGCTGCCAAGCACTGCCCGACCAGACACAGGCTGTGGAAGCACGACAGTGCCTCATCCGCCTCACTCACCCGCTCTGTCACTGTCCGTGGGAGCCTGGCTCTTCTCCGGGTCAGACTGACCATGAAAGGAAAAGGCTTTGAAGCCATTCAGGACATCAGGGTACCCAGGAGAGCACAGCTAGAGACCCCAGGAAAGGACTCCAGAGCTGCTGCAGAAAGTGACAAGAACCACAGGACAAGAGTGTTCGAAGCAGGCAGGAGGATTTTGAGGAGGATTCACGGCAGTGTCTTTTACTTTAAATTGCTTTAAGCATTCACCATGTTTTTCAGTCACCTCCTATTTCTATACACCTCACATTTTAAAACTACATCTTTGGGACCACTTCTACATAGAGGCAGTGACAATCTAAAGAATTACGATTATGACTGTGATTTTAAATCGCCAAAACTCACAGCCACTGCTGGCCCTGTTAATGACAGAGAGGCAGAGTTAATACTATGACCTAGGGCTGGGCTCATCACAGATGGTCCCGCTGACTACTCCTTCTCGGTCAGAAGAGCTAAAAAGCAACTTTCCTCAAAGCATTATTTTCCATAAATGTTGCCCAAGATTTAGTAAATTTATTGTCAAAGTTATGTCAAGTAGAATACAATCATTTGTCTTCTGGTACATTGGATAGCACATAGTCCCTGAGTGGTTTAGCAGGAAATAATATTATTTATGAGTGTGTAGGAGGGTCTTTTTGGGTAATTAGTTATTTCTGCTTCCAATTTTTTTCTAGGCTTAAATTATTGGAGCCATGGTTTATGGCAGAAAATTGTGGAACCCCAGACGCCTATTTTCTACGTGTTTGAATGTACCTAGTAATTGATTATTCATTCCTAAGCATCACCATAGTGTGGATAACGCCCAGTGTTCCGGGAAACTCACTTCCTGCCAAGAGCTGTGCTTACCTCACTATTGCCACGAAATCTTTTCGGCAACCCCAGGAGGCGGCAGCTTCTCTAATCACCATTTTTCACCTGAAGAAACTCAGGTGGCAAAGGGTTAAGGCAGCTGCCCAAGGTCAGAGGGCAGAAGGGAGTGCAGCGGGATCCTCGTCCACGGCCAAGCATGTGCAGCCTTCACACGAGTTGCCCACCCCACCTGCAGCTCTGGGGCCAACCCCGGCAGGCAGCCGTAGGGTGGACCCCCCCCAGGTGCTGCCAGAGCAGGGGCTCAGTTCCCCGTCCACACGGTGCAGAGGGCCCTGGGGGTGGGCGGTCTCCCACGGGCCTGCACGGGGTCTTCCTGGCCCTTTGTATCAGGAGGGGTTGCTCATCTGAGCCCCTGATCCTTAGCTTGACCCTCAAGAGCTGGCTCGATCGGCCCTGCCAGGGTTCAGCCCAGAGCACTGTGTCTTGGGGGGATGCGGGGCCGTTACAGGTAGGCCGGCAGGTAATAGGCAGATGGAAGGCAGGCAGATAAATAGAATTCAGGCAAAGTCAGCCCTCCGTAGTCGCCTTTCTTGTCTCTTTGTCCTTTGTCCTGGGCACTAAAACTCGAAAAGTCGATGTCTCCTCACAGCAGAGCCTGACTGCCAACAGACGGGGGTCGGCAGCTCGCTCCCCCTCCAACCTTTCTCCTCCCGGTACAGCCTGCGTCGGAACTGCTCCCAGGCTCCAGTGGGCAGTGGGTCCACAGCGGTTTCGAATGACTGAAGAGAGCACAGCCTGCCGCTTTTCTCAGAGGCTGCCTGATGTACTGTCTATAAACCAAGGGAACGCAGCCGTCGACCTGAGGTTTCAGGGGTGGGAGCAGAGAGGGGTCGCGGCCCTGGCCTCCTTCTGGGGTGGCTCCCAGGCAGCTGCACTTCTCTTCTTTCACCACCTGCCTCCAGTGTGGACTTCACCTCCTCCTCCTCTTCTGACTGAGATGTCCCCTCTCAGCGTAGGAGATTCGCGCACATGTGCTGACCTTCAAGGCTTCCCCGTGCACCTTTTGTTAGTCGCTTTCCTGAGCCGGGACACAATACCCAGCACCCACAACTTAGAGGAGGAGAGGTCTGTTCTGGCTTGTGTTTGGCTGACTCTGAGGAAGGAAGCCATGGCACAAGAGTCTGGCAGAGGAGAGCTGCTCAGGGCATGGCGGCCAGGAAGCAGAGAGGGAAGGGAGAAGCCGGGAGGGGGTGAGACTTCCAGGCCACACCCCAGTGACAGCCCGAACCAGGCCCCGCCTCCTCACCAAGGTCAGCTGTAGCCGCATTACCTAGTCACCTTTGAAAAGCCCCCATCTGATCGCATGAGGCTGTGGGGACATCTGGATCTAAACCTGCTGCACCTCCCACAGTGCCTGTGTCCATGGACTCTGCCCAGAAGCACTCAGTGGGCAGCAGAAAGTTTAGGGGTGCTGGAGCAGCACACGTGGTAGAAGGACCAGGGGGCGGAGCTCACACCCACAGGTGCAGGGTGGCCGGGTGGGGCTCCAGGACCCTGTAGGCTGCGCCACCTCAGCAGTGGCTGGGTCCTGCCTCCCTGGGGACTCTGAGGTCCCTTTGCTGCTCCACTCTGCACGGTGCTGGGCTGTGGCGAGTCCCTACGAACACAGCAGCGTGGCAGGAGCCTGGCACCGGGCACCAGCTGTGATGCATGGGGCGTGACCCTCGCTCTGAGCCGCAGCATCTCCGTGAGACACCGGCTGCCCGTGGTTGTGCTGTGGCCTGAGTGGGCTCACACAGTCCAAGCCCTGAGCATGCGCCTGACGCACGGTGTCCCTCCCACGGCTGAGGACCGTCCCTCCTTCACCTGGTCCTGCCTCTGTGCCATCTGCAGTCGGATTGGAGGGAGACAGGGCTCCCTGCCCTCCCCAGGCACAGGACTCTGATGCCCAGAAGGAGCAGGCAGTTTCTCACGGCCACTCAGTGAAGAGATGGACCTAGGGGCTCCCGCCCCTCCCTGAGCCCCTGGCTGCAGGTGTGATACGGAGTCGTGGGAGAAGAGCACAGCAGGCATGAACCACTGTCACCCTTCAAAGCCCAGCCCAAGTGGTGGCGAGTACGGAACCCGAATCCGTCTGTTTTCTGGTGCTGTAATAGAGCGCCCCATAAAGAGAGGCACTTCCTGTCACTCACAGACCTGGAGGCCAAAGCCCAGGCCTGGGGAGCCCCACTGTCTTGGGCTCTGGGGACGGTGCTGTGGAAGATGGCGCCGCATGGGCGAGAATGCAACACAGGACCAGGCGGAGCTGGCTGGATGCAGCTTCCATGCATCGCACAGACAGCCACGGGCCAGCACCTGGCCTGTGTGGCAGGGTGAGCACAGCAGGGGCCTGAGGATGTGGAGCCATGTGGGGCCTTAGGCTTCCAGGGCAGCCGCCCTCAGCAAGGATCAGGCCATTCTCCGGAGCCCTGAGCTGATGGCGGCAGGAGGAGGTTATGAAAAGAGGACGCCCCACCCAGTGCTCTCTGCACCCCCGCTGTGTGATCTGTCCCTTCCACGAGTGCCCTGCTCTGGTGACACTGTCACCACTGTGACACGACCAGGCACACGAGCTCAGCATTGGAACCTCCAGGACTGAGAGCTGAGGAAGCCTCTCTAGACTCTGGCACTCTGTGTCCAGGATGAAAACAAGAGAAACCCACGGTGAGACGGGAGCCAGGCCAAGTCCGCTGTCTCCACAGCTCCGTCTCAGAACAAGCTGAGCACCACTGGCACTGTCATAACCCCGGCCAGGCGGTGCCCATGACCGCACCAGGCACCCGCCTCTGGCACCTTGGGGTGCCGCTCAGACCTCAGCGGCAGCTCCTCCTCATCGCTCTCCATCCCCGGTGACCTCAGGGGCCCAGCTTCCACTTAGCCAGCTGTGCTCTCACGAGGTTGTTGGCCTGCACTAGAGCTGCCAAGCGAGAACCTTGAGTTTGCAAAGGAAAGACAGAGTCATGTCTTTTTCCTACTGCTCGGGACAGAGCACACGAAGGGGCACACGTGGAGGCAGATTTGCTCTTCGTGAATCAGTAACACTTTATTTAGCCAGGATCCCCACTCCTGCACTTTCTCCCTGCTGACCCTGTCTCTCTGTTGCCTTCAGATCTCAGATATCGAGAGCCGGATTTCAGCCCTGACCATCGCAGGCTTAAACATAGCGCCCTGCATGCGCCTCACGAGGAAGCAGGAGCAAAGGCGAAGGAGCCAGGTAAGTTGTCCCCCACTCCCTCTTTGGGAAACTCGGGACCCAGAAAGTCACGGGGTAAAGGTTCTCCGGCTGACAGAAGTGCACTGTCCTGTGTTGTTCACAGGTGCAAACCATAGACACCTCCAGGCAGCAGAGGAGGAAGCTACCTGCTCCACCCGTGAAAGGTAAGTGTCCAGCACAACCTCAGGCTACCAAAGAGCCGGACCCAACCACCTACATCAAGAGTCTGGAAAGGAGAGCGAAGGGGGTTTGCACCCAGAACAGTCCTTGCCCATCTTGACTGGGGACCCCAGCAGCAAGCCCTGGGACAAGGACCGGAGTGCCCACGGCTTACCTGGGCGGCAACTCCAGGACGCATTGGAGGGGAGGAGAGAACTGACACAGGGAGAGGGAAGACGTTACTAAGCCAGAGCAGAGTAGTCTAACTCACAGGTTCTGCTCTGGTCAGGTGAAGCAAACCCTCCTGGGACCCTCCGGGAGACAGCGCTGACCGCTCCAGAGGGTTTCCTGGCCTCAGGGAGGAGACTGCACATTTGACTTCTACCCTACCGGTCACTGGCTGAGGTCGCTTCTCAGACCTTCTCTCTCTGCTGGGGTGGGAGCTGCTGGGAACAGGAAGCCAGGATGCCAGGAAGGCTCTCCTTTATCCAGAGGATGCTGCCAACAGTGTCTTAGATTCAGGAGCCACAGAATGATGGCAAACTTGACACTTAGATTTGCAAACCAGAGGAGCAGGGAGTCGTGAGATGTGGGTTTGAGCCTTGCTTTGGCTGCTTGGCATTCAGTAAGCGTTTATTGAACGTTTATGTTCTACAAAACCCTAAACATGCAGTTGCAGCTCATCTCAGTTGCACAGTCCCTTCTCTGGACCCTGTGGTCCCATGTGGTCCACACTGCCGGCCTTGTGTGTGTCAGTTGTGTCCTAAACACTCCGTATGGCATCGGAGCTGGGTCTGATTATCAAGCACATGTACCCTTGTGGCAGCAAAGTCTGAGAACACTCGCCCTCCAGGGATGGACGAGGGCTTCACAGAATCACAGGTCATGCAGATCAGGGCTTGCAGTCAGATGATTTAGCCCCAAACTTATACAAATGACCAGGTTTGGGCCCTTTTATATTTCAGGGCTGCAAACAAGAACTCATGGACTCCACTGGGCAATCTCCAACTACCTTTTCCCAGGAAGCGACCAGCCATGCCTTGGTACATTTGGTCGATCACAAAAACAAACACAAACTAGCAGCACCCGCAATCCGCTCGTGTACCAGAGTGAGACAGCACGTCTAGAAAAGCATTTGGGCATCAGGCCACCTGCTCTGTCGTCCCTACTAACTGGCCCTTATTCTGGGTGACACTTACTCCCATTTATTTCCTTTTAGCTGGAAAAACTGAGGCATCTTCAGTGACCACCATTAAAACATTTCACAGCAACTTCATTCTCCAAGGCTCCTCGATAAGCAGGCCTACAGAGAGCGGCACGCAGGACCTGACGGTAACTATCACCTCTGGCCCAAAGCCTTTCCTCTGCAGCCCCCGCCACCCGCAGCTCCCCAGGAAGCTCCCCTCATGGCCCCGGGGTCTGTTGGGGCCAGCCAGGGCAAGTGACAGGCTATGTGGTATTGCTGGCCCTCTCACGTGTGAGTGCCGCCTCTATTTTCAGCTCCTCGTAGAAACCACGTTTGATAAACGAGAAATAAAAACTGCACACAGGGATGCGAGGTCTGGTAGAGGTATAAGAGCTTTTATTCTGCCTTCAGTCCATATTCACTTTCTTCAGTTTCTTGTTAGCCAGTTATCTGCCTTCCTCAAAAGGGTCAGCAGCTGGCCCTCAGTGTGGCACAGGGTGAGCCAGCAGGTTATTCGCACAAAGTGGAGGTCATACGGAGAGGTGAAAAGCCAGCAGGTGTGCGGGGATGTGCCGCCGTGGTGACTCCCAGGGAGAAGGGCAGGATTCAGCCCATGCCTGGCGCACTCAGGAAGTGGTGATCCCTGAGTTGCTGAGGGCAGACCATGTCTGAGTCTTCTCAATGGGACACAACACCTGATGCCCACAACTTCTGGAAGCAGAGCTTTATTTTGGTTCACGTTTCAGTCCGTAGTCAGCAGGCTGCAAGGCAGGACAGCATGGCAGAGGGGCCTGCAGAGAAACCGCTCACCACATGGTGCACAGGAAGCAGGAGTGTGAAGCCCAGGAGCTGGGGAGGGAGGTGCACCCGTCCAGGCCACTCCCAGTGCCCTCCTCTTCCGCCTAGGCCCTTCCTCCCAATGGCAAGCCAGCTCTAGGCCCCATGGTCCAGCCACCTCCACAGGCCTGCGGCTTTGGGGACACCTAGATGTAAACCCTTCTGGGCCACACCTGGGTGGTGGCACAGAGAGCGGGCACCACATGCAACACAGGCCCCTGACTCCATTTTCCCCACACATCCTCCTACAGCACAGAAGCACCAGGCCTGGCCACACAGTGGGCACGGCCTTTGGAACTGGGAGTTGTTCTCTCGGCTCCACAGGGCGGCCCAGCCCCGGAGGCCTTCCCTTCCCTGGGCAGCCAGCACACCAGCCTCGCAAAGCCCAGGCGCCTCCACCACCTGCTCCTTCAGGGTTGCAATGACACCCATGACACTAAAGGGCAGCCGCCAGCATCAGCGAAGGAACGGGTCAAAAAGAAGATCATTAAAAAGAAATAACCTCTGGCAGAGCTCTGGGGAGGGGCCAGGAGGAAGCTGCTTGTAGGGCCGTTCACTTGGGGGGATGGAAGTGTGTTTAAAGAAACAAAGGCTGCGGTGGTACTGCAGCCCCGAAAATGTGCCAAGTGCCATGGGCCATTCACTTTGCCATGGTGAGTTCTGTACTGTGTTGATTTTACTTCAAAAAAAATTTTTTTAAATAAACTACCTTGAAGTAACGTGGGAAGGTTAAAATGGAAGGCTGTACAATATGCACTAAGCAAAAACAATGAAGCGAGAAGGGGCAAAAATACTACTTTCAAGTAGTGTAGAATTCAAGACAGGGAGTGTCAGGGAAGGCCGGGAGGCTCAGGTGACCCAAGCCCGCCTTGGTCTGGCCCATGATGGAGCAGCACCGCTTGCTGTGTGATTTTAAATCCCTTTTCAGGCTTCAGCAGCAGATGCCCCAGAAATAAATACCAATTAGAGAATTCTGTAGTGTAATTATAAACTTTGATTAAAATGTCTATCTGACTACGCTTTACAGATATTCACTTTCTAAGCATCAATGGAGCATTTATAAACATTGGTTTTATACCGGCTCACACAGGAAAGCTCGATACATTCCCAAACACAGGAGTGCAGAGCTCTCTTCTGTGACCACAGTGCTGGACGGGACTTGCACGATGGCTCAGGGGGTGCTCGGTGTCGCCCGCAGGAGCCAGCCCTGGAGTCTGCTGCGATGTACTAGTGCTACTGAGCACGCTGCCAGTGACCCACTGCCCGGCCCACACGACAGTGCCTTCACCAACACCACAGGCCCGCATGAGTCCACCGGGAGAAGCCCAGGAGGCCGCAGTGACCGTGAAGCAGGGCTGTGACCCCTCGCCCGAAGGCCACCGTGGACCGACAGCCCTGCCCACTCGCCTGAGGCTTGGGGCCACCCCAGCAGCAGCACTGGCTTCCAGCGGGAGCTCCCTGCCTGAGGGGCCTCGTCACTGTCTGCTGCGCTCCTGTGTCGTCTCCAAGATCTTCTTTCCTTGGCCCTTTGGTTCAGTAGACGTCTGTGTCCATGACTGTCCCGTGGAAAGTTGTTGGAGGGAGGGAGGCAGGCATTGTCCCTTCTCAGCAGTGCTCACTGATCTACCGCAGACATCTTTGTCTAACGAATGCCAGGGAAGGTGAGGGGCCCCTGTGCGAGCCCGGGACAGTGTGACATAGGCCCACCGTACAGGACAGCACGGTCCTCCCTCGGCCACCTCCCACCAGACTGTGATGCTACACAGCCGTGCTTTGCCACCAGCAGTTACAGCTGGGAGTGGACAGCCCCACGCGCCCTCCCCTGCCCCAGCCCATCCAGAACGTGTCCGGCTGAGGTTCAGGTTCTTCTGGGGACAGGGGACAGGGCTCAGTACAGCTGCCATCACCTCCCCCAGGGCCCTGTGTGCAGCCGCCTAGACGCAGTCGGTTTAGCAGTGAGCACACCAGGTGGGTCTGGGTAGACAGCATAGACCCAGCACGAGAGGTTTCTCCTCCAAAATTTATGTCCCAGCTGATACTCAGCAAGGTAGCAAAATGACCTTCAAGACAAAAATAGTTAAAGGAATAATGGCCTTCGAAAATGTACTTAGGAAGAAAGCAAGGACAGACACGAACATAGCAGACCCACAAGACGATGACGGCGATCAGATACATGCATTTGTAGCCTGTTCACTCTTGCAAACGGAAAGGGAATTTCACTCAGTTAATTGGGAGTTAGCAACATCTTTTAAACGTTTGCTCCTGATAGATTGAGAATCTAGGAAGGCAGAGGAGGAGGCGAAGGAATAGGGAGACAGTGCTCATCAGGTGCGGCCCCAAAGGAGGCAGGGTCTCACTTAATCCTTAGACCTCCTCAGTAGGTAAACGCCCTTCTCAGATTTGAAAACCAAAGGCGGAGAGATCAGTTTTCTCCAGTGCAACCCCTGCGGACTCAGCATGGCTGGAATGCCTGGCTTTGTTTCCAGACTGTGTTCCTTTGCCCCCCTGTGCACCCCCAGACCTGAGTTGCTCCCAATTCATGTGTTAAGTTCCCCCCCAGACTGGGTCTGCCCACCTTCCAAGAATGCTTCTTGCTCATGCTGTGTACGTGTGCTCCACCCCAAGTGACTCCTTTGAGCAAGTAGACCTTCGGCTTTTTGTTCTGTTGGTGTGATTCAAAGCAAAACAAAGCAAAACAAAAAATTGATTTTAAAAACACAACAACAACAAAAAAAGATCTGACTTCCAAATAGAATGGTTTAAGAGGCATGAAAAGCAACTAATGTTGTGTTACAGTGTTAAAATACTCAGTTTTCTTGACAAAAAAAGTGTATTGTGTAAGCCTTGAAAAAAAGAAAAAAGAAGTTTGCTCTATGACATTTGAATTTTTATAAAGGTTTCCTTGTGCCAAATAAGTACAAAGATTTAATTTACTATTTAAAAACTATAAGCATATGTTATAGTTCCAGAAGAATTATTTTGTCATCAAGTGATTTTGATCTTTAGTGTCAATATTTATATTTAGATTAATTTTTATAAATGAAAATATTTTAGAGGTTTAAGAAAATAAGGACGACGGGACAGTATCTGATGCCTTCCAAGAGTCATGCTTGCCTTTGCGTTATGTGCACTGTCAACAGAGAGGATGAAGAAGTAAAGTCATTTATGAAAACAGCATGTGTGTGAGCTCTGTTGTTAGAGGATGGGGGGAGGAAGCCACGGAGTTCTTGGCCAGCTCTGCTCACTCCTTGTGGCTTTGCTCAGACGATCCACATTCCTGGCTTCTCCAACTTCCTGGGGTCTCCACCGCACTGTTGGCATCACACTCACAGTTTCATGCACTGCCCTCTCAGGGCACACTTCCTGGCCTCCCAGGCCTTCTGAAATCTGTGTGGAAGACTTCTTGACACCACAACTCTTGCATTCTACATGCCTGTAAAACCAGCACTGCACAGATGATGCCAAGATCTGCTGCTGGCTGGAGCAGGAGCCAGGCCCCCTTGAATTATACCTGTAGAGGCCTGTGAATGTCTGGATGGATGAGCACTGCGAACAGGATCCTGAAGAACAAATTCCCCAGGTGGTTGTTCTGGAGCACAGTGCCCTGGGACTCTCTTCTCAAAGCAATCATTCACTTTTTCTATGCTGTTTGCTTTTGATTCTCAACATAGAACTGGCTAAAAACCCCAAGCAATATCCATGCTGCAGTCTCAACATTGGGCTGCCTAGAAATCTCTGCCAAATTAGTCTGCCACCATTGATCTTAGTCCCACACAAAGTCTCGGGACAGGAGCAAAATGTAGACAAATTTCCTGGCAGAATATAACACACACAGCCTGCCAGTGGAGTCCTTGTATCCAACTGAAACCTCCTGAGCCTGGTTTTTACTGCCTGCATATTTACAAGCATTCTAGTCTGAGGTCCAACCAGAATCTCCTATATCAAGTTCTGCTTACAACATTCTAGGGCTTATCCAGTAAGCATCCATTATACACCCCAGCAGGGTTTTTAAAAAATTTTTAAATAACTTTATTATCAAACACACACACATACAAAAAATTAAAACCATTCAAAGAAGAACAATGCAAGAGGAAAAAAACTACAATAATATTCAAATACAGTAGAACTCAACCAAAACAAAACTGAAAAGCACTTAACCATTTTTCCTTACAACTTAAAAAAGCATCTCAAGTGCCAACAAGACACCAGAGGATGTGATTTGTTTCAGAAAGATCCCCAAAACCAACACTGAACAAATAATGATCTGGAAAAAAACTCCAGTTAGTTAGCCGACTCCACATAAGCCAAGCTTCTCCCTAATTTAAATTTCGATACAGTCGTGTGACACACGATGGAAACATAATCCAAGAAATATATTATTAGGGTATTTCATCCTTGTGTATCCTAAATTACATTTTCAGTTTCTCACACTAGAGAAACTATTCAGTATTTACACATATGTGTCCTATTTATTTCACTTAAGAGGATGGCCTCAATATGCACCCATTTAGCTATAAATGTCTCTAGTTTCTCATTCTTTATGGCTGAGTAGTATTCCATTTTATTAAAAAACCACATCTTCTCTATCCACTTTTCAGTTGATGGGCATTTGGGCTGTTTCCAAGCTTTAGCTATTATGAACTGTGCCGCTATAAACATGGGTGCACATATATCGCTGTGGTAAGATTCTTTTAATTCTTTTGGGAAGATACCCAGCAGGGGGATAGCTGGGTTGAATGGGACCGCTAGCCTAGTTCTTTGAGGTATCTCCACACTGATTTCCACAGTGGTTGCACCCCAGCAGGCTTTTGATAGGATGGCCTAGGTCTGACATCAGCCTGAGGAATAGGGGACATAAAAGACAGCCACCATTAACCTCCTGGCCACTGTGCTCTTTTTCCCAATGGCCCGCTCTTACTCTACAGAGCATATTTGTTTTCCTACCTTTAATAAATACAAAACCTCACTAAAAAGTAAAATGAAGTATCTGTCTAAGGAATAAAGAATGTATAGGTTCCACACTACAAAGACGCAGAGGACACCAGACCACCAGACCATGGTACTGAGTCCCGCTGCTCCCGGCCCAGAGGTAGGGGCTTCTGAGCCACCATCCCACTGCTCCTGGTCCAGAGGAAGGGGCTTCCCCACCACCATCCCTCCTGCTGCTCCCAGCCCACAGGAAAGGGCTTTTGGGCCACCATCCCTACCGCTGCTCCTGGCCCCTGTCCCACCTCTCCCAGCTCAGAGGAGGTAATCCATGCAGGTGCTAACAGCCCCCCGCCCCAGTCGAAATGAGAAAACATGTAAATAAGTCTCAAAACCAGACTTCCAGATCACCTACAGCAACCACAAAGGGAAATGAGATGGAACACTCTGATACTCAACCACCTGGACCCACTGAACTGGCAACAAAAGGGGATCTGGAAAAAATGAAATCAGAAATAATTTCTCTGATAACAGAAGAAATTGTGCCCCTAGTGCAAGACATGATTAATAAATCTAGAGAGGAGCTCAGGAACATGATGGAATCCCAACATAGGAAACAAATGGAATCCATAAAACAGATGCAAACAGATTTCCAGGACATGAAAAACTCCACTGAAAGTCTACACAGCAGAATGAGCCAATGTGAGGACAGAATTTCAGATATAGAAGATAAGGTTGCAATTAGTGACCAGGAAAAGAAAAATTGCTTCAAAATTATAAGGGAACATGAGAAATCAATCCAGCAGCTGCTAGATGATCCAAAGAATGTATAGTATGGGATGAGAAGCCACCATTTTCTTAAAATAATGGTGTGCTAACCATTTGTCATCTGTATTTATGAAAGGAAGTCTTGGGAGCTCCCATTGAAGACTGTACATGGTTTTTTCAGCCACAATTTTTGTATCTATTTTAGGGTGAAACAAAAGCAAACAAAATCTATGGTCAATTTACCTCCATTTGGCTAGCTCACCACAATTAATCCAATGAAATTAGCATAGAGCTTTAGAGCAAGATTTTCACACAGAGAGAGAGCGAGAGAGCATAAAAGCAGAATGCAGAGCTTCTTTCATGAACATCAAAGGAGAAGGGGCAGGGTAAGGAAATGTCCTGAGAACAAGGTAGGTAGGGCTTATCCTCACTCCTCCAGGAAGGCTAGCAGTGCACATTCCTCCAAACAGATCATTTCAGTTTATATCTAGACATCCCACAAAACCTCATGTGCTCATAGGTGGGGCTTTGGGGAGGTGGGACCACAGGGGTGATGAGTGAGACTCATCGGTGTGAATTACGAGTTCACAGCTGAATGTCGGGAGGAGGCGGGTCCTGGGCGTGGCCTGCAGGGTCTGTTCCCTCCTCCCTTGATTGTTCTCAGCTTCCACTTCCCCACCATAAGCTGCTTCTCCTCTGCCAGGCCACCCTGCCTTGGAGCCAGCTGACTATGGATTAAACCTCTACAAACTGTGAGCCAAAATAAACCTCTCCCCCTTAGGGTTGTGGGTGTCGGACATTGTGTCTCAGCAATGAGAAAGTGACGGAGACACAGATTTCTTTAAATACTTGTTCTACATTTATTTGCAGGAGGGGCTGAGCTCCCCAAAAGTCAAAAGTGGAGGAGAAATGGGGTCTGGGGACAGCATCGGCGCCTTCTCTCTTGTCCCGAGCAATGGGACCGGTCTGTGGAGAGGCAGCACCTGGAGGGAGGGTGCAGTGCAGAAGCTGCTCACCTCCTAGCAGCAGGGAAGCAAAAAGAGAGAGAAACTGGGCGGGGCCCCAACCTCCCCTCCAGAGGCCCCATGACCTCACTTCCTCCCTGAGCCCTGGCCCTCAAAGGCTTCGTGTCCCAGTTGATCCACAGGCTGAGGACCGAGCCTCCACTTGTGGGCCTGGGGACATTTAAATCCAGATGATGGTCCTAAACACTACTGACAAAGAAGCTCAGGTTTGGGTGGCCGGGCTTCAGACTGGAGGAGAGAGAGGACATCAGTGGGGCATCCGAAAACCACCCTTGGCAGACAGTTCCTGGCAAGGATTCCTGCTTTCTCCATGTTCCCACCTCATTCCCATGAAACACCAAGACCTGAGAGGTCGCAACAAAAGCCCAGCCACACCCAGATCACAGCCACCGTCGGCTCCCAGGCGGGGAGCCCAGAAGCGCAAGTTGACCAACTCCTCTGCATGAACAGTCAGTACCGGAGCAGAGCAGGCCATGACAGAATGCACCGCAGAAAATAACAGACAGCTCTTCCTGTTTTCTGGAGTAAACACAATGCGAAGATCTTTTCTTCCTGAGAAATAAATGTTGGGTTTGCCGTGGCAAAAGATCTGTGACCAACATGCAGAGCGTGTAGGGGCTGCCGGAAAGTCTCCACCTCTGAACTCGCCGCCTGCCAGCTCGTTGGCGGCCAGCCCCTCTGTCAGCTTTCTCTGCTTGTGGAGCGATTAGGGGGAAAATGAAATAACATGTGAGAAACACCTCAGCGGTACGCTTGGGAGTCGCAGGTCCTCACCATTTAGTGCCCATTTCTCTTAGAATGAGGGAACCAAGTATTCATTCAACTATCAGCGCCATGACTTATGAGAGCACAGAGCACTCCGCTCCTGTGGTTTGCCTCGTAGCGGAAGAGATCACTGCTCCTTGAGCATGCACGCCTTCATCCCGGCTCTGGGAGGCACACACCACACCCGTCACGTCTGGGCTGGGCCACACCACTCGTCCCGGGATGACTGAAGGCCTGCCCTACCCTCGACTTTGAATTTGGCCATGTGATTTGTGTTGGCTAATAGATCTTGGCAGGAAAGCCACAAAAGAAGCTTGAAGTGCTTTGTGGAGTGGGACTTGTCCGCTCACATTTCAGCATTCACGATAAGGACAGGCCCAGGGCGGGCCACTGGTCCAAGGAGCAGCCCCAGGCCCCATGTGCAACTGACACTGAAGCCCAGCTGAGGCTAGCCAGAGTGAGCAGAGCTCCCAAGACGCCCTGAGACACGGGACCAAACAGACGTGTTGCTCTTTGAGACCCTGCGCTTTGGGGTCATTTATTATGCACCATCATTGCGACCAGAGCTACACTCTCTGAAACATTCATTTTATCCCATTATCCCCACATTAGGAATGAGCTGATGAGTATCAAAAAGTAAAGTGACACATCCAACCCAAAGAGGTGTAGATGAGTTATCGAGCTGACTGC